GATTTAATCGTTTATCTTAAAAGTAATTGGCTATAATTTTGCTAGTTTTGACCACTTTATATAACCGGGTCCCTACATGAAAAAATCTGTGGCTCATTGCTTCCCAATACAGAAGTCCATTGATTTAGAGCTTTATTAGCAGTGTACAACAACATGAGATCATTCATAACATAAAATCCAATATAATACGATGAGCACGCGCGATTTCGAACGGGAAGTTTAGTCCTAACGTGGTTTGCATATCTCAAACTTTTGCTGTGTTCTTACTCAACAAAAGTACCATTTCTGATCTAAACAATCTATTCTGAGCTATAAGTTCGGTAGATTACTTTTTCTTGAGTTTCGCTCAATTTAATAGTTAACTGTGGTTTTGCCCCAGCTAACTATTCGGTTTTTTTCAGTTTTTCACGTACAGGCTAGTTCATTTTATCTCATCTGTTTTTATACATTTTTCCCGTTTTGGTGTAGTTTTTTGTGTATTTTTAACGGTCTTAAGCATTGATACTATCTCTAACACAGTTTACTTCAACACAGCCATGAAAAATTCATGCAAACGACCTGGATGCCGGTTCGCTGTTACATCTGGCATGCAGTGCAACAACTGCAAAGGTTGGTTCCACGAAATGTGCACAGATCTTACAGCAACTGCTTACAAGGGACTCAGCAACTCGGACCGTAGGTGGGTGTATGTTACGTGCAACACGGACGCTGTAGTACTGCTCAGCAACATCATTGTTCTACCGACAGGTCTGCGGAACAAATTGTCAGTAAACTTGGAAACAGATAGCCATAAGGTTGATAGACAAACAAGGGCGCGCAAGGAAAATAAAAATAGGGATGTCGATAAGTCTACCATCGATGGAACACGCATTAGCACTAATGATGAAATGTTGAAACTCAGCACCATCATTACGTCAACGGTAATTGACTCCCTCACTAAACTTGGATCTCCCAGTTCGGGGTCCTTAAACGCAACAGTTGTTCCTAAAATCCCTGTAGGTGACTGTACCCGCGCCAACAGAGCTAATAATGACCAGGTGTCACCGTCTAAGGTTGACATCCCAAGTGTTGTATGTAAATCAACTGGTGCTTTAATCGCTCAGTCTATCCCCAAAAACGTCCGCCCGGTTATCAAAAAGCCTACGACTTAAAAACCTGCTTCGACCTTCAAACAACAACGTACTAAACCTGAACGCACCGGAAAACCTGGGAAAACAACAACGGTCCGTGACGACTCTCTCATAATCATGAACCTCATAGACAATCCTGACCTTCCTCTCAGTTTGCAGGACAAAAACGACAGGATGCTCTGGGGTGAACTGAACAAAAAGCTCGAAATTCCTAGAATAGAGCCTTTAAATGTCACACGGCTCACTCGAGGAAAGGAATCTAAACATAAAAATCACCCGAGGCTACTTCGTGTAACACTCAGGAATGCTACCGAAGTAGAGGACGTCCTGCTAGCTAGTCATCTACTGAAATCCGATGGGAACGTCAGAATACTGCCCGACATACCGTACTCTGAGCGCAATCTCATCTGGAACGTCCCTAAAGATTCTCGAGAGAAATTTTTCCGCGGAAGAAATATCATCGTGCAAGGTGTACCGGAAAACATGGACCCTACTCAAGCAAACTCTGATATTCGGGAATGGAAATTCATCAAACAGTCCTTGAGGCTTAAAATCATACTGACTCAGCATGTGATGAGACTAGCCAAGAAGGACGGGGATCCTAGACCCCGACTAATGAGGATAACTTTTCCATCCTCCCATATGGCGGCTGCAGCTCTGGAAGCATTTCGTGTCAATAGACGTCGGTTGCCAACTGGGATTCACATGCACCCGGACAGGCCATATGACGCCAGGATCAAGCACAAAGGCAAGATGGAGCTGACCATTCCACTTGTGGACTGTCTTCAAGATAAAAAAACGTGTAAAGGAAGGGCCTATCAATTCGACAAAACTTGTATAACTGAGTTACCTGTCCACTCACGTAAGGCTCTCACAGACAAACAGGAAGAAGCTCACGCGTTTCAAATTGAAAGCATTAACTGCTTATACATGAACGCCGCGAGTCTACCAAATAAAATGGATGAACTAAGTGAACTTAGCAACGCTAATAAGATTCATCTGATGGGAATATCTGAAACTTGGATATCTCCTCAGTAATCGGACCAGGAGCTAGCAATACCTGGGATGTCTCTGTTCCGCAACGACAGAAAAACAGGAATTGGGGGTGGAGTAGCTCTATACATACGATCTGGCTTGGAGGTACACCAAGTTCACAACCATGAGTTTGACAATCTTGAGGAATCCACATGGTGCTCTATGAGATTGTCCACTACTTCGAGGTGCCTAGTCGGAGTCATATATAGGAAGCCCACTGCCGACATCGAGTACGACAGTCGCATGCTGGAAGGACTATCCCGCTCTGCGCGTCTCGGCTTCACTCATATCCTGATTCTAAGGGACTTCAATCTCTCTAGAGTCAACTTCGCGGAACATACGTATACTGGAGGTGAAAATTCAATTGAAGCTCGGTTCTTCAACCTCATTGGGGATTTGGGACTACACGAAAATGTGAAGTTGGCTACTCGTTGGAGGAACAGTCAGACACCGTCGCGCTTAATCTGTGTTTTTACAAATGAAGAATTTCTAGTCGACAACCTCTCGATTCTGGCTCCCCTGGGGAAAAGCGATCATACCGTTATAGCCTTCAATTTCGTCAGCAAAACTGAGCTAAGATATCCCAACAACAACAGGCGCTGGAACTTCAGGCGGTTGAATGCGTCAGCTCTACAGGACTATCTACAACAGGTGGATTGAGATGTTCACCCTCAACTTGGTGTGGATGCTCATTGGAACTTCTAACTGCACACGCTCTTATGTGCTACAAAGCAGCCAGTCCCTCAAACGGTCCCCAAAAGCCACATGCAACCTACAATCATCAAAAATCGCACTCTTCGTTTGCTAAGCCGTGAAGGGCACTGTTGGGCAGAATACAAACGAACCAACTACAATGGCGAGTACAGGCAATACAAACATATAAGGAATATATGTACGAAGGTTATAAGAGAAGACAGGCTCCAGTACCAGTTAAAGCTTATGGATTAATTTATTTCCGATCCGAAAAGCTTATTCCGTTACGCAGCCTCTCTTCGTCAAGCCAAAACTAGAGTTTCTCAACTGCTAGGTCCTAACGGCCCAACCCATAATGACGGTGACGCCGCTAACCTCCTGGCTGAGCAATACTCCTGGACATTTCAACCGTCCCACATCAACTATACGGATGACGGTTCTATCTGCAGTTGCACAAGACTTTCCGTAGTGAAACTGAGCGCTGACTTGGTGTTTCGTAAACTACAGCACCTAAGAACAGACACTTCTCCTGGTCCAGATATGGTCCACTCTGCTATACTGAGGGAAGCAGCTTCAATCCTGGCAATACCGCTTAGCGTAATGTTCTCACACTCGCTAAGTCGAGGCAAACTACCGGAAAATTGGAAGCTGGCTCATATCACACCAATCTTCAAGGGAGGTTGACGCAGCGAACCTTCAAGTTACCGACCGGTTGCTCTTCTCTCTATACCTTCAAAGATCATGGAGTCCCTGGTTTACGATGGTATACACGACTATCTGCTGTTTTTGAATTTCTCACCCCAACAGCATGGTTTCAGGAAGGGTTACTCCTGTATGACGAACCTGCTGACTGCGGTGGACAGATGGACAAGCATCGTTGATCGCAAGGTGAAGGTGGACATCATTTACCTTGATTTCTCTAAAGCTTTTGATAGGGTTAACCACATCTGTCTTATTAGCAAGCTCAAACAAATGGGTATCAAACCTCCTTTAATTGACTGTCTCAGTTAATATCTGACAAATCGACATTTTAAGGTCAGGATAAGCGTTAATTTCTCAAAGGCTATGGAATGTCCTAGTGGGGTCCCTCAGGGCTCAGTACTAGGACCTCTTCTCTTCCTGATTTATATAAATGATCTTCCTGAACAGGTAACGTCAGACATATTGCTCTTTGCCGATGAAGTGAAACTTTGGAGAGAGATACGCAACCAAGGGGACATACAGGCACTTCAGGAGGATCTGACTCGACTTCAAAGTTGGGCAGACGATAACGGACTTACCTTTAACACCTCAAAGTGTAAAGTAGTCCATCTGCGACACGTCGCAGATTACAGTTACAACTTAGGAAACTCCTCTCTAGTAGTATCCCTAGTCGGAAAAGATTTAGGAGTTCTGATGCCCTACGACTTAAATTCTTACGCCAACTGTGACAGAAATGCCTTTCGAGCAAACCTTGAACTGGTAACATTGAAGTGCATTTTTGGTCAGTTTGACGGGAGAACTTTTCACATAATCTTCAATAGTTTCATTCGTCCCCATTTAGAGTACGGAAACATAGTATTCCCTCCTACACTCCAAAAGGATAAGGACACTCTGGAGCGTATCCAACGGCGAGCCAAGAAATCAGTTCGGGTACTCAAATTTAAACCTTACGATGAGCGCCTCCAAACACTCGACCTTTACCCATTAGAGTATAGGCGTCTTAGAGGTGACCTTTTAATGGCTTACAGTATCCTCAACACACCTGGACATCCTCTTAAGCATCTACTTAAGCTTAGTCCCAACACCAACCTAAGGGGTAACACCCAGAAATTAGAGATACAACATAGTAGAACGGACTGCAGACACAACTTCTACTCCTTAAGAGTTGTAAAATGCTGGAATTCGTTGCCAGCTGAGCTAGTCCGAGCAACTTCCCAGGAATCCTTTAAGAGGCGACTTGATCTCTTCTTAAGGACTAAGGATAGTATCTTACTATGATTTACCAATTCATTGTTTTTTATCTTTTATCGTTAATATACCTAGGTTCTTGCCTGGAGGTATTGTTGATCTCCTGCTACTAGACACGGAAGCCTGTTAAGCGAAAGCTTCTTCTATTCCGTCCACAACCATTTGAACCATTTGAACCATTTACTCAGTCAAGGTCGATTCCGCAATTTTTTTAAATGTTTCGGAACTTATCTTCTTAAGTGTACACATATAAAGGGGTTTAGTTTTGCTTCTCCAGTAAGTATTTAGCACTCTTCACTATGAATAAGTTTCTAACACATTAAATAAGTATTATCACGTAAGCGAACTCCATGGTTTTTGAAACAACTTACGTTTGTTCTATTAGGAGTTGGTCGACTTCGTTTTTAAACAGTCGGTAGATTCCTGAGAATTCTAGTCAGTAGTGCGACCATTGACTCTTTGGTTCTTCGGGTCGCTGGTGTGTGGATTATGTAGATCACCACTTAGTGCTTCACAGAACACTGGTTCGCTACTTTGCATTACTAAGAACTACTCTTGGACTTGGGCGTAATCCATGTGATAATATAACTGCTATAAATATGCCTTGCATTTCTGTATGAACGTTTTGTAATGACAACTTCATACACATGAGTGATGGCTTTTTATAACTGCCTCATCGAGTTAAAATGATTAGCCGAAATTCGAAAACTTCTCAACAATGTTGGAACGACGGGTTGTTTTTTTAGTGATTATTTCAATAGATAATCCGAGATTGATTCTAAGAATTATTTCGGGTATGTCGCATAGCGACACATTTTAATCATGGCTGAGCTGGAATGTATAAACTGCAATTCACTGCGTACTGATGTCTTTTTTTCGATATATTTGCTCACTGTTCATCACTCAAGCCCGACATTTGGATTCAGGAAAGTATAGTTAATCCATAAGAACTTGAAACTTTAGGTAGAAAAGTGTGAGTTGTTTTTTGCAAGATACAGTTCTTTTATACTGCCGTCAATTGCCAACAGACATCTCGGATGTTACCTGACATCTTCCGAACGACACATACATGAAATACATCATACACTAACCACCCACCAATAACATATATGTCAGATGGTCCCTGTTCTCACAAAGCCGTTTTTGATCCACAGATTCCCTTAGCGTTTACAAGGCTCATGTCATAGTGTGATGGTCACTAATGTCAGCAAGTATCATTATTTAATGTTTGAATTAAACGAAGCTAGATAAATCCAACATCGCTATTCTATCCATTAATACATATGTATATATAAGTAGAATGTTGCTTACAGTTACATGATATAGCAAGATACTTAGTAGATTCACTAGCAGCTTAATGTAGCATCTTGTTTATAGTCATTAAGGTTTTATGACCTCACTGAAACTCGCCACTCATCACTACTCTTTGACGAACAGTTTTCGATGAGACTATAGTTTATGGACATTCGAGCGAGGCTAGCCCAAGCTCCCAAGTTTGGGAAAATTTTAGAGTTTCATTAATAAATATAAGTCGGTTTCTCGAAAGTGTAATAAAATCCTGGGGAAATTTTGAAGTTTTGGTGTCATTTCCCCAGGATTTTCCATAGAGGCTTCTCCAAAATTTCCCCAAAATGGGTCAAATTTTTCCCAAAACTGGAAGCTCCAGTAAAGTGACTTTGAGAATGTCCATTTACCTACTACGGCTAAATAAGGGCCATAAACCTGCGTGAAGAATAAGGATTATAAGTTACAGTTGATGGTTACAGTTAGTTAAATTTAGGGTTTTCATCGCGAACTGACGTCAGCTAAAATGCCAAAACTCTATTTAGCTAAATGGGTGAATGAATTTCGCTCCAAAATTCAAGGCCTGTTATCCTAAATATGATTGGTTCGCTTATAAATCAGTCTCGTCTTTTAATCTCAATAAATTGTGGACTTCTTGAGGAATCATTGCGTTTGCTGATCTTAATTCGTACGTGAATTTCAGTCAGGACTACCGTCAACTCTACTGTGCTTGCAACCAGTCGACCACATGGATTTTTAAGAAAGTGAATAATGAAGAAATGGCTACAGCTTTAAAGTCAAATGAAGATTCCTCAGCTATTAATTCAGATGACGGTAATTCTCTTTTCTTTTTTAAATCCAGTTTGCTAACGCTTACGTAGTTTTGTATCAGAACCCTTGGGAACGTTAATAATGAGTTCCGTTCACTTTCGAGATTTTTCTCATCAATATTTACGTAAATTCACAGGTCTAACGTACACAAACAAGTTTTTCAACTGATCTAATGTGAATCTATCCAGACTGTTAGGAGTTCGGATGGGTGCTTTAGCCGTCTCCCCACATACTCAGATTACCAGTCATAAGTGGCTAGAACCTGTTTATATTCGCGATCTGTTGGTTGAAACTCTAATCCTTTAACTGAAGTGGTTGGACATGTGTCATGTATGCCCGACCACAGCCTATCTCGATGACTGACGCTTTTTTGGTGTAGGAGTTATTATTTATTTATTTATTTTAACACATAGATATTGATACAAGGAGGCACCAAATACATATGCGCCCCCAAATGCCCTGGTACGGCCGAGAATGGGGAGAGTCCGCTCTCCCTCTCGAAATGCTCTCACATGGCCACGCGTATATAGTCTCTGCCAGGGAAGTTCTACTCACTGCCTTCTCGTGGCGGGGGTGTTGTTTACGAAAATGAGAGGACGAAAAGCGAATGTCCGGCGCTTTAACCAGATCTCAAACGAATGGTGCACATGGGCTCCAGTATCCTGAAGGAACAAATGGCGTATGAACCAACTTCTTGGTCACCGGCTACCATGGGACTGCATCTCCTCACGATGCTCCATTGTCTTGTGGATCAGACCTTTAGGTCGAAGACTCGGGGTGTGGCCCCCTAAGAAAATCACCTGCTTCGGTTTGGGCACCTGGGCAGTATCACAGCCCTCACACATATCAAATGTGATGTAGGAGTACGCTGGAAAAAAGCTAGGGATATCAAACCAAAACATGCCGTCAGTCTATGAAGTCACTGACAATTGAGCTCCGTCATGCTAATAGGTACAGACTAGCTGGTTAGGGTCCGCGTGATTGTCGTAACCGATGGCTCAAAATCACTTTCAAAAAGACGTGGAAGTGAAGTACTCAGAAATACTTGTGGAGTATTTCTGGATTCTAAATTTTTTTTGCCAGTTAGGTTATAATTCGAAAATGATTGTTTCGAATGAGTTGATAGATCTTGTCTAATTCGATATGTCTGTTGATTGCTAATTGTTCTTAACGTCATGCTTCCAGTAGTTCTCTAACATTCTCTTGATTTATAGTTTTAAGGTTTTTACAATCGAATTCATGTCCATGGTTGTCTACATGTATTAATATCAGTGATAGCTTATCGTATCGTTTCAGTGATAGTTTGTGTTCGCGTATGCATAGATTAAGAGTGGGGTTCACATTGTCCAACATAATGTTTGTAGCAGTCGGTGCAATTTATTTTGTTGCTTTTGTCTTGCGCTAATGTGTTTTTTGGTCTACATAAAATGAACTGGAGTGATTGCGTTGGTGTCTTCCTGGCATCGAACGTCTGTTGGTTCGAACTACTCCAGTAACTTTCGAGATCAGTTACTATGTTAATCTACTTTAACTTAGTTGGAAACATACTTTACGAATAAACAAAACAATTAATAAAGTAGCATTTATATAGAATATTAGTGTGCTACTAAAACCCCCAACCTTAATTTGTTGATCAAACATTTGCCACCGTCTATTGTTTGTCATTCCGAGAATCATAGCCATCCCAATTTACGAACTAGACAGATTACGAATTAGTGAATGATATAGTGTAAATTTAGTTTACAAATTTTATATCACAACAGAACTGGAATAGTTGGATTGCGTAGAAAATTCAAGTGTACTTGGTTATTTACTATTGCACATCATTTTGTGGTGAAGCGACTCCAGTTCTAGTCTGGTGTAATAAACAGAAAGTTGTACGTTATCAATTACATGAGATGTGTGGACCTTTTCTGCATAATGATAAAAATAGCCATTATAGTTAAGAAAACCGTGGAATCGTACTACTCGTCATAACAATAAGCGTCTACGAAGTTTACGACATTTTCTCAGGATTAATAATTAAAAATTGCAACCAACTGCAATTTTAATAAGTCTTAATCTGATATTAATGACTTATGTTTATTATTTACACAGATATACCTCATAAAATTGTAGTACCTTTCTACTTCATAATTTGTCAAGTTTAATACGAAATGTACTTCAAGCATTATTCATGTATTTACTGAAATATATACTTTTTGTTCTAACAGATTCCCTAAAGTGTATAGCTGGACAACAGAACGTTACACCGTGTAGCTTTATTAAGAGTCAGCCGAAAGCTGATGTTTCGGTTGATTTTTCGAATTCAAACCTAACTGGTAAAAAAAATTTAAAAGGATCCAGTAATACTCCACAAGTATTTCTGAGTACTTCACTTCCATGTCTTTTTGAAAGTGAGTTAACTTACAGTTTTGCAATAATTGTTTGAGATTTGTCAACATAATTTTGCATTTACCTAGTGAATAGTACACGTATGTAGTTTTCTGATATTTGCCAAATAGGTTCTTTTTGGGTAAGAGCTATTCGTGACATCTTTGGAGTGAATAAATAAACTTGCTTATGTAGTATAATTCTTTAAACGACCTGAAAAAATTTGGTAACTATCCTTTTACTCAAACATAAAAGTTGGTTGTTTTAGAATAAAGCCTTTATATTTAATCATGTACTTTTGCTATGTGCAACATCTGAATCAACAAGTGATCTGCTAATACGATCAAATGGTGAAAATTCGTACTTGTATAGATGCTGTTACGCTCTTAAAACACGTAAATATACTAATAAGTAACTATGTTATTCAAAAGAATTAAGAGCAGTGATAAGATACATTGGTATTTGAACACTATCCACACCTATACGCATTTTTAATAAACAGATGAACTACATTTTATCTCACGTATATTTGTCTTTCTTCAGAGCCCAGTAATTCTCAATTTTTATATCTTATGGTGTAAACTATGTTTCTCAGTCATTTCTTGAAGTGATTTGTGAAGTCAGTCTTATTACTCAAGGATTATAAAATGTTACAAAATATGCCAACTTGAAAGTATGGCTCATACTCAAGTCCTTGGTGAATAAATCAAATTATTTCTTACCATTATGTTACTTTTAATCCCAATTACATTGCTGTATTTAGCTTTATGGGGGTACAATAATTTTGTGACCGTTCTGTTTTTTATATCCATTTATTTGAAGTCCTTCACAAATTAAAGGCGTTATATTGATAAATTTATACCCGAAACTGATATATCATTTCAATCTTCGTATAACGTGCTACTTTACCACAACAACGTAATTTAAGAGTGGTTTTCACGGTTTACATTACGAACTAATCTTAGTCCGACGGCGAGTGCATAACTTTTATACCATTGAGTCAGCACCCAATGATATACATGTTTAACTTCGACTAGTTTTTGATATTGCCCAACCATCATTGACTGTCGTGATCATGTGAGGCAGTTACCCACCGAAGGCAATGAAAGGTGGTTATGTAATATTGTGGACTAGTTGAAATTATACATGTATATCATTGTGTGCTTGCTTAGTGGTCTAAAGTTTATTCACTTGCTGTCAAACCTTAAGGTTTTGGATTCAGTCCCTGCCAGGGTCATGGGTGCACGCTACTGGGGAGTTCAAAATTAGGACGAAACAGATATTTAGTGCTTCTTGATTCTTAATGGTTGTCGAATCAAGGTTAGTTCGTGATGGGAACTATGGAAATTCAACATCTGTATAAATTTCCATGGCAAAAATGCAATTGTTGTCAAAATTTTTTAATTTTTTTTATCTGTGAGATTGCGTTTAGACCTACACTGTATGATTTATTTTTTATTTTATATAAACCAAACATATTTACGATTTATTCACTCAAAAGGTTTTCATAAGTTTGTAGGTATCATTATCAAGATTTCACTCGATAACTTCAATTTAATTGAGCATTCGGAGGATTTTTAACAAATATATTATTTTTATTACTAAAATATTAATTTTTTTGAGGTACTTGGGGAATTACCATTAGATAATGTCTGGTTGGTAGATATTATTTGTTGAAACTTCATTAGAACAATATATTGTGTGTGTAGAACTTGTGGTAAGTAGTTCAATGTGTTTGATTGAATTGTAAATGCGTATAGTGTCTATTTTTGTAAATATTTTCGTTTGGAATATTTCTATAGTTCATGTTAAATTAGATAAAAATCACAATTGAATATAAACTTTTTCCATAACATTTATACATATAGTTCCCTTCCTATCGTTAAAGTATATACTGTTGTAAATGTGTATTCGATAATAACTTTCTGAAAAGCTAAAAAAATCCATATAACATGTTTTTATAAATGACTGTTCTTCATCAATAACTCTTCAGAGCTTCGTAAAAATAACCCATGTATTGGTATTTCGATCTGAACTATCAAATGTTTTCTGTTAGTGTTTAACAATAGAATTTAGTTTGTCTTCATATGATTTGTATTAATTTCGGTGAACATTTCTAATTGGTTACAATTATATACTTTCATTTGTAGCATTCACATGATTCCATTTTCTTTTTCCCCTACTAGTTTTATTATGTTAATTGTCAGATAGTTGCTAGCACTGAAATCGAATATTGATGAGTGACCTGTCTATTACTTAATATTGAGTGATTTTTAATATGATATTATTGAGTTAAATCTAATTCTTGTGGTCTGTAGTCACGTGACATTATGTATTGGTTGATTTAAAGTAGTTGCTTTTAAGTGATATTACCTTTAATATTGTGGGTTTTGTGACAGGTGTTGCCTTTTTGACAGGTATTTCAAGTAGCGTTCATAAATGATGACTTCTTGTTTTTTACATGAAAAAACTAATTGATCGTTATGTTAAATGAAATGGGAAACTAAACAAATATAAATAATTACTGGCTTAAACCTGTTGGCCATCTTGGGGCCTTCAATTAATGATCTTCTAGAAACTCTGTCTTGGGCTCTCTCCAGTTGTTACTGAGTTTTATTTATGCTCTAGATGTCTGTACCCGACAACATGTGTTCGTTGGCCTGCTTATTTTTCTCTCGCCTTGAGAATTCCAGTTTAGGGATTGCCTTGTGATGCATTTTAATGGTTTCCTCAAAATGTGTCCTACCCACCTCCAGTATCTTTTCTCAGTTTACTCTTTAGCTGAAAGCCACTTTGTTTACTGTCAGAGTCGGTTATCACCAATGGTATCTGGTCAGTGGTATTCTGTGTAGACAACTGTTTATAAATGTGTGTACGTTGTGGTGATGGTAGTAGTACTTCACATTTTAGCTCCGTAGGATAGAACTGCTTTAGCGTTCGTATATACAGTTCTGACTTCCTTATTGGCTGACTGCTTTGAGTTTCAGATGTTCTTTCATTGTAGGAATGCTCCCTTTACTTTACTCAGATCTTCTTTTGAACAGCAGCCTCTCATAAAATAGGTCTTTGTCGTCTTTGCTCCTATGATTGGTGGGAAAGTATCAATGCAACTCCTTGTGTGTGCGGGAAAATTTGTTTTGTAATCGGAATACAACACCATTCCTGAAGCTAATCTTTTCTGTCCATCTTGTGCAATATGTATTACTGATTTCAAATACGTCAAGGTTATATCTCATATCTGATGCTATGTAGATGACCTACCAAATCTCCCACATTGTTTGGACATCCCATGTAACTGTATTAATTGTCGCCCCCCATTGGGATGAGTTCTGAACAATGTAAATTATTGATTTTTGTTGTCTCTGGAATAATCGTTGAGGGAACCCAAGTTTCTGGAAGCTTCTAGGACTTGTACTGTATTAAATATTTTAGATATACTATACTAATCGGTTTAAGAGTATCATGAAATACTTCAGGTTAATCGTAATGATACTTACCAACTCTCCATGGATTATTTAAAGGATGTTTCGAATTTTTTGAGGTCTAGGGGACTGACTGATTGGTTAAAGACTTTAGCCTAGATAGTTGATAATCAGTCTTACTATTACATATGTATCTATTCCCTATTTTTTTCTAAGTAGCAAATATAATTTATCATTTTTTGTCTTTCTATGCAGTATCAATCTTTATTTTTCCTCCTGTTTTTTAATACTGTTACTACTAGTGTCATAAAACTTTTTTTAAATTCTTATTTTCATTGGTCTTATCTTGCTATATGCTGTATTCGTGTATGAATTTCCGGTCTAATTTTATATTTACTGTTATCAGACCTAAACATATAAGGTGTAATTAACTCCCTTACTTCATTATTATTTACCTGAAAGCTTGAAACATTCAAGTTTATTGAAGGTGACTTATATTTATGTATTTGAAGCTACTTCATCTGTTTTAATGTATTTGCATAAACTTTCACTAGTTTGTATTTAGTTTGTTTTAATTTATGAATAAAACCTAATTTATCTTGGAATCATTTAGAAATTGTATCACAACTACGCAAACGTACATGTAAGTAATATTTACAATCAATCTACCGTGAATTTTACGATTAGTCGCCCTTACCTAGGGTCCATGCTTAAAAAATATGTTTGAATTCATTCTATATTACCCTTGTTTCGCATTTGAGTTTCAAAAGTGATTATTTCTAGTAATAATGACTGCTTGAAAATGTCTTTATTATCTTTTTGTCCATAACCGCGTATGTATTTCGTAAAAACAACATATTTATCATGAAATTATGCTTAATACCTAGTAGGGTTCAGAAATCTTAACTAGGCTCAAGATGGACTAAAGCTTCTTTATAGTATTTTTACACCTTGTTGAATTGATATTTACTAAGTTTCACTTTACACAGAAAAATAGTCCAGTAATTTCTTTTTAGACTTCATTAATTCGTTTCATGAAATAAGTTTAACCCATGATATTTTTAATTTCAGTAGTGCAGTGAGTGATGTAATACATTATTTTTGACTGCATTGTATCTATATAACAGCCTAGAATCCGATATTTGTAGATAGTAAACACATAGTGATACATATGAATAGTTAAATCCAAGCTAAATGTGCTGTTAACTGGACTTGTAACAGTTTCATTTCGACATCATTGACTATGCTACTAGTAATGTTGAATCTTAAAGATAGTTCTATAGCCTACAGTAGTTTTGATAAAGAATAGGTTATATTATTAATAAACGTATGAAAATTCATAGACAAAGTTTCTAGTGTGTTGTGTTTTAGCGGTGTTTGGTTGACTATTGATTCGGATAAACTTGTGACTTTGTTAATTGCTGTATTTCCGGTTCTAAGGTTAAATACTTAGAACTGAGAACCCCTACAATTCTCATGACGAGAAGTAAAAACATCAAATATTAATGTGGGTGAAGCTTTGTCGACCCTCTAAAAATACGTCGTTAGTGTTGCAACTGCAAAGATATCTTGGTACTTCAAACGGAAAACGGTAAATCAGATAATGCAAATAAGAACAGGAAGATTTTAGAGGAAAATTTATATTATACCTTAAATAGATCAATGTGATTTATGAACACACTAATTTTTATATGACATATTTATTATGATTAACAGTTACGTTCGTATTAATTGAACTGAGTAGTATGTAGCATTAATTAATTGATTAATAATATATACAATGTCATAAAATCAACCATCTATACCCAACAGATATGACTAGAATAATTACTCTTTAAAATGTGATTGAGAAAATAAATGATTGTTGTTTGTTTATCTCAGTCAAATCATTTATGTCTTTTCTGATTATATCATAAAGAATTTTAACGAAACTAATATACGTTTTATATTGAATCAAATTTATTCTGGTTATCGCAGTATATTTTCTATAATTCTATTTCAATTTAAAATCCATCTTACAGAATTTCCACTTCTCTTTTTAATTACTCACAGATACTTTGAACTTGAACTCGATTTCTAAATCTCTTCCTGTTTTATACCAAATCAATAATCATACTGTACATTCAGAAAATGAATTGTCGGTTCATTTTAATGATAAAAATGAGAGTATATTTATTCAACCTGACAACTCACCAAAAAATATTCAATTAACTAGATCTAATTCAAATGAATCCTTAAATCATTTAAATACAATGGAATTAATAAGTAATTTAAACACTTCTATAAATAATAATAATAAATCTAATTGTCTACCTATAATTGAACCGAATAAATTACTTAATAACATGCCAAACACATCAAATGTTGATTCATTATTAATTACAGAATTAGAAAATTCTATATATCATATTAAATGGATTAAATTTAATAATCAAACACGTCCAATTATAACACAAAATAATAATGGTCCATGCCCAATGATTGCTATAGCAAATGTACTTTTATTACGTGGAACAATTAATTTATCAAATGATAGTGAATTAATCAGTGGTAATCGTTTATTGTCTATTCTTAGTGAATTACTTTTATCGAAAGCTCCTGATGTAAGTTTTATAACCAAATTTCGAAAGGTAACACATTAGTTGTTAGTGCTTTATATTAGCTTGATTAATAAATAATTATTTTGTGTTTCGGTCATATATATATATATATATATATATATATATATATATATATATATATATATATATATATATATATATATATATATATATAAGTGGTTGTTTTTCATTCAATAAATATTGAAGTGTTATAGGTTTATGCAACATTTATATCACAGAAGAATGAATCATGTTAGATCACAATTTAATTCAAATTTAAAAGAATATTTCGTGAGTATTGTCGCTTTTCTGTTATACAGATTTATAAATTTATGGAATATATAATTTATGAAAATACTACTTTATATCTAATTAAGGGGGAATTTCTGCTGAAAAGCTAAACAGAATTTTTAAACAATACTGAATACATTATTAACTAAATCAATATCTGTAAAATGCCAAAATTTCGTACATTCTCATCTAACTTTTTGACTGATCGGGTAATCAATCAGAATAAAAAAAGAACTATTTTCAACTTTTTGCACAAAATTCAGAAAAAAGGATGACTTATTTTGTATCACATAAAAAAGTGTACTAAGCAAAATACATTTTTACAGCTCTTGGGACGTTTGAAGTATTTAGAAAGACTATTTTTTGCATCATCGTCAAGTCAAAATGATAGTGCTAAATGTGTCACATGATCAATTTTTATTTTGTAGGTTGTATGTAACACGTAAATCAATGAGTTTCTGTCTCAATTTACGTTGTTTCTAGTAAACCGTAAAACAAATCTCTATATGAACAGTTCTCTGGCCAATTGGCTTGATGGTGCAGAGAAAATGCTAATGTAGATAACGGTTTGCTCAGATGATTCCTTACATATCTTTGTCTTCTTACTACAGCTGTATAGCTGTAGTTGAATTTTACTGTTGGGTATAAAAAATATTTAGAAAGAAACCTTTAGTGTGAATATACTGAGACTCAGATGAATGATGTTACGTAGTGATATTTCGACAATATTAAAATCGGAATACTGATTATAAACCTTGACATATTAACAAGCGAACCAATAAACTATAACAGGTTTCATTACTTTTGTTGCGAAATACTTTTAATTAATTCAGACTGCTCATTGGCTAAGAGGCAATCTCAGGGTCATTCTGACCTTTGCTTGTCCTATTGCAATTTATCTTTCATAAATTTTGTCATTTTCGCCATCTGCAAATTCACTAGCAAATAAGTAAAACTTATGTATTGCGATTGATTATAGCCTCATATTAATTTTTTTTATTAAATATAACTGTAACAATATCATGAAGTATTAAATTCAGTTTACTTTCCTCCATTACATCAGGGTTATTGTATAACTTCGTTGCTTTTCTGTTTGTTTTTGTATAAAACATTTTGAGATATCACGTCATTCTTTCTTTATTAGCTTAATGTTAATTCAGCTTACACAATACAGTCAGTAGAATTCAGTTGGTAACATTAACTTGGTTATTTATAAAAAAAATAATCATTGGTAGTATGTGAATTCCAATCCTTCCGAGCCTAGACACATGTAGGCGAAAGGTTTATTTTCTTAGTAGCACATAGACTACTGGTACTCAGAATCCGGTCAGCTTGTGTTGCCTAAGATTCAGTGTTTGGTTTACTGGTGAGTTTGCTTGTCCCCGGGTAAACTCACGCGGAAAATTCTTAAAACTGACAGATGAAAAGCAAGCCAGCAGAACGGTATTATGATCGTCAGTGCGTATTCCTGATGTAAAGATACTTTTTAAAAGTTTTAATAACACTCTGTTGTTCAAGAAGCGCTCAAATGCCAGCAGCATTGATGTAGAAAGGTTAAAAATAACATATCTTTTCAGTATAATCCCCGAAGATTTCACATTGCTCCTTGAAAAAGGATTCGTTTGGCCTAACTGAAACGGTTAACTGGGTAACATGAAAATTTAAATAAATGGGAGGATGATTATAAAACCCATGAAAGTAAACCTCATAGGTGGTACAAAATAGACTAAATGCTTGTGAAACTTTTCATATTTCCTTCAAGATTTTCACGATTTAATTGAGAATTGAAATTACTTGAGCACTTAAACCATAGCAATGGCTTATTTTAGCAGACCACCATAGAACTTTAATTCAAGGGTTTAATTAACAGAATAAAATTGGGAGACACTCCGCATGGTAACAAAAGGCTAGAGTGATTTCGTACGCTAAAATTTCTTTCAGGGCCTTCATTCTATATGCATTGTTAGTTCGGAATCAGGGTTTTCAATGTCCTATAAGTAGTTCATCCCTAACCACCTATCTGACATAAGTACTAAGCATTTCTATTTTGTTTCCTTTTGAATAAACCCTGTCGTTACATCAGCCAGTCAGTCACAACGTAGAACCTGGTACTTATATACATCGGTTCGAGTTGATATATTCCAATAGCACACCGAGATCAAATTGTCATGCCAGATCCCAGAATAGTAAAGGTGGTAACAGTATCAATGGTAATAGGAAAGACGACACGATTTGAGAAAATATAAATTGGAGAAATAAAAACTAGAAAAGTTATGAGGAATTTAGAATTTAGTGTATGACAAGGAACGGATGCACCCACGCCACTGTAAACGATCTTAAGCCATGTTATTCAAAGTCTCTAGTGATTGGTTACGATAATCACGCGGACACCAACAAGGTAGTATGTACCTATTAACGTGACTGAGTTCAGTTATCAGTGACTTCATAGACTGACGACATGTTTTGGTTTGACATCCCTAGCTTTCTTCCAGCGTACTCCTATATCAGAAAACATCGCTCATCTAGGTAGGCGATGGTGGACATACGTAACACATATCGCAATCACCGTAGCTGCTACCTTGACGTGGTGGTCGGGCTTGCCTATCGTGATGACCCAACCGAGCTATATTGGCTGGAACATATGTTCCTGCAGGTTCTACCATGCCAGGCAGGTCTTTTGGAGAACGGTAAGACTAAAAGCAGCTACTCAAGCTCTGAGGGTGAAGTCATACTGCTGACTGTAGAGGGGTGTGACAGCAGTAAGGTGTTTCCCTCGGACAACCAGCATTTGCAGCGATGCTGCCTTCTCACAAGGAAGGAAGGGGTTAGAAAAGGTTGGCCCTAAAAATGTCACACCTCACCTTACCCCACGGATTTCCGTCTCCGGCGGTAAGGCCCTTTGAAGAACGGAGCTAACACATTAAAAACCTCCCACAAAAAGGCCGTGTGCGACCGGCCTGAAGCAGTTGTCCCTTGGGCTCTGCGGTCACGCATCCAGGTCGCTAAGACCAACACTAATCCGATTTTCTCTTCAGGTTCCTCAAGAAATACCCTTCCACGGTGTGGGCAGCCAGGAAGTGACATCAGCCCTCATACCCATAACAACACACGAGACCAAGTTGGTCACATTCAAATCCTCCCTACACATCCTAATAACTCTCTTATCTCCACGACTAACCCTTCTCACGTCCCTTTATCACCTCGCACCGCTAGGGCAAACGATTCAAGTACGCGGAACGTTATTCCTGATCTCCTGAAACCATACTCTAAACTACACGTAGGAGCTTTCAACGTCCGAACACTGCCAAATAGGACACCAGGCTTCCTTAGCTAAGACTTTAGAATCTTGCTCCATCGATGTGTTCTGCGTCTCCGAAACGCGTACACAGGATCCTAGTAGTGTCATTCATTTGACCGCACCATGTCAAAGTAACGAACCAACTCGATTTACGCTTCGTGTATCTGGAAGCCCTGATGTTGCTTCCCGTGGCCTCGCTGGCGTAGGTATAGCATTGAGTCCTAGGGCAGAACTAGCTCTCTTAGACTGGATCCCAGTAGACAGTCGTTTGTGCGCTGTCCGACTAAACGGAGCAGTAAGGACTCGAAAAGATAGGGACACTCGTCGTTGCCTCTTCGTCGTCTCTGCCTACTCTCCCACTGACTGCAGCTCAGATGATGTAAAAGATGAGTTTTACAGAAAGCTTTCCGACCTTCTCCGAAAAGCTAGGCGTTCAGATGTAGTAATAGTGGCTGGTGACTTTAATGCTCAAATAGGTGAACTAAGCGAAAGGGAAAGACACCTGGGTGGATCTTATGGTGTCGAGGCTCAAAGAACAGATAACGGCGACCGTCTGTTGCAGCTATGCTCAGATAACCGCCTGTTTCTTGCAAGCACTAACTTTAAGCATAAGTTAGAACATCTTTTATCATGGCGATCCCCTAATTCGTCCCAACGCTGGACCCAAATAGACCACATCGCTATCAGCCACCGATGGAGGGGCTCGATAGAAGACTGTCGCTCATTCTGGTGCACATGCTTAGACTCAGATCATGCTCTAGTGCGAGCGCGCATTTGTCTACGCCTTACTGGACGTAGGAAAGATGGTGCAAGGAAACCCCTTAGGGTCCTACTTAATGATAGTCAAGCTAAGAGTATATTTCAGGAAAGACTAGAAAAACAGTTAGGCAGCCATGTAAGTGACGCCCACCCCGAGGCAGCGTGGAATGACATCCGAAAAGCTGTAGAAACAGCAGTGATGTCTGCAAGTACGGTAAACTATAAGGTTAGGGAGAAACACTGGATCTCAGCAGCATCTACTGCTCTGTTAGATGCTCGAAAACTCATTCCATGTGGCTCTGAATATAACGAAAAGCGGAGTCAGCTTAAGCGTAAGCTGACTAGAAGCGGAAGCAAGAGAGATGGAAAAGGCAGCGGCAATAGGTAACAGCAGGCAACTGTTCAGACTTGTTAAGGATACCGGTATTAGGAGCCCAACTGTTAGCGAAACAATCTCAGAGAAAGATGGACATATTATTCATTCTCAATCCAGGAGATTGGATCGATGGGCAGAACACTTTAGGGATCAGTTCAACTGGCCCTCATCCACACTTCGGTTTCCCACGATCTCCAATCTACCTGAATGGCAAGTTAATGTAAGTCCTCCGACTCTACGAAGTTGAAAAAGCTATAGGAAATCTGAAGCGTGGGAGAGCAGCAGGTCCTGACAGGTTTACCCCTGATATTTTTAAGGATGGCGGTCCAGTATTAGCAGCGAGATTGACTGAGGTCTTAGGTAGAATCTGGGAACTGGACGTAATCCCATCTGACTGGTCTCAATCACTGATTGTACCAGTCTATAAGAAAGGACAAAAGTCCTCCTGTGACCATCACAGAGGAATTAGTTTGACTAATATAGTGTTTAAAATATTAGCTTCAATAATACTTCGACGTCTAACCAAAGCTCATGAAGAGCAGACTAGAGAAAACCAGGCTGGTTTTCGACCTGGACGTGGTTGTATAGATCAGATATTCACATTACGTCAGGTCCTAGAACATAAACACACATTCAGACGCCCCTCAATGGTAGTATTTCTCGACCTTAAGGCGGCATTTGGCTCTGTTGATCGTGAGGTTCTATGGCAGTGTTTGTCACTGAAAGGAGTACCAAAGAAGTACATTAACCTTATAAAGGCTCTCTACTCGAACACAACTGGTCGAGTGAGAGCTTATGGCGGACTGTCATCAGAATTGATTACCTCAAGTGGTGTTCGTCAGGGCTGTCCACTCTCTTCATTCTTGTTTAACTTTGTTGTTGACGTCCTCTTAGAGATGACACTTTCCTCATCTAAATTTCCAGGAGTTGAATTTTTACCGGGAGATTCACTTGTTGACTTAGAGTATGCCGATGACATAGTTCTATTCGGTGAAGACGCTGAAAAAATGCAGAGTCTGCTGACCACTCTATGCAACAATGCAGGCATGTTCAGCATGCGATTCTCTCCCTCGAAATGTAAAATGTTGCTTCAAGATTGGGTTGCATCGACACCCGAACTAGTGATAGGGAGCGTGTCGACCGCTTCACTTATCTCGGAACTCTCATCAGCCCTTGTGGTCTGGTGTGTGATGAAATCTCAGTACGGATACAGAAGACTCGATCAGCCTTTGCCAACTTGCGTCATTTGTGGCGTAGGCGAGATATCCGTCTATCAACCAAAGGACGTGTTTACTGCGCAGCAGTTCGTTCCGTCCTACTTTATGGCGGTGAAACATGGCCAGTAAGAGTAGAGGATATTCGTAGTGTTATGGTTTTGATGTCCGGCTTACGATCACGTGACTTATACACCAATCAGAATACGGCTTATACGAATATTCGCACTATGACAAGACCAATGACGTTCAACCGGTCTGAGCAGTCTAGCGTCCTATTGGGTCCTACGTCCTTCTAACCCGTCCTCTCGAGTCCAGAACACAAAAGCAGCTTCCGAATCAAACAAATCGAACCAAATCATTTATTTCAGACATACTCGGTTTATATATCAATCAGGCAGACCACAACGTACCATAAAATAGAAACTAACATGTGTACACAAATAGGCCAAAAAGTGGCTGTGAATGTGGGAGACAGTAATTAATAAACTGAGCATAATTTAGGGACAGTAAATCGTACAATGATAAATTATAGGTCAAAGTGAAGCTTATGATAAGGGGAATATAAATATACATAATCTAACTATTAAATAATTACACCGTAAGAATATATAGGTAATATTAGTCAATTAATGTCTCAGAAGTTACTCGTGATTTAATCTTCGCTCGGATATAACACGTAGGTTACTAGTATTTGATCATAGGTGTCTCCGAATCATTGCTCGTATATCCTGGGATCACTGAGTAAGTAATGCAATTGTTAGGAAACGGGTACTAGGTAATGATGGCAAATCAATTGACGATGTAGTGAAACTTAATCAGTTGATATGGCTGGGACATGTGTTGCGCATGCCAGACCACCGACTGCCCCGACGTGCGATGTTTTCTGGTGTAGGAGTAGGTTGGAAGAAAGGTAGGGGCGGCCAGACCAAAACATGGCACAAATCCATGAAGTCACTGACAAGTGGACTGAGTCGTGTTGGTAGGTGTAGACTACTTGGTTGGGGACCGCGAGACGAGACCTTGAATGACATGTCTCAAAATCGTTTGCAATGGCGCAGGTGCATCCACTCTTTGTGTTCTGTCAAATTCTAACCTTCTGAATTCTTCATGTCCTTTATTTTCCTCCCAAATCCATTCCACTGGACTATACTCCTTAAATAACATTATCAAACCCTAATGTTCCCTATCACTACCTCTTCCACTACGGCATTAGAGACGATAACTGAATCTCTGTGCTAATGTGGTATGACAACTCGAACTGATGTACGTATGTACGAAGTTCCACGTTGTTACTGACTGACTGACAGTTGATGAAGACTTACTATCTCGTCAATCGATTTTCCATCCTCACCTAGTACTCTATTTCTAACCCAGGAATTGCCCACTGAGTTTTTCGGAAATACACGAGCAATGCTTCGAAGACATCTGTGATCAGATACCAGTAACCTACGAATATCTTCCATTTTCAATGGCCATGTTTCACACTCATAAAGTAGAATGTAGTGGATTGCTGTGAAGCAAACTCGTCTTTTGGTTGGAAGACAGATTTCTCACATACGCCACAGGTGATGCAAGTCGTCAAAACCAAATCGAGCCTTCTGAATCTGTGCTGAGATTTCGTCAGATACTAGACCATCATTACTGCTGAGACTCGCAATAAAAGTTAGGTGGTCGATGCGTTCAACCACTTCACTCCTTATAATTTAATTCAGGCGATGACCTAGATCAATCCTGAAGTAACATTTTATATTTGGAGGTAGTGAATCTCATTCCAAACATGCTTGCATGAAGGCTGTGAATACCATTTCATAGTGCGAAGTTGTAAGTTCACAGCTGTATTAATATATTCTTGAAAAGTGAGGACCAACTGTCTTCTCCTGAAATACTTAGACACACAGATTTTCCTTATATAGTTTATGGATTCTGAATTGTTTGACGTCCAGAAATTATACTTCTCTTTTGCATTAAAGTCCTACAAGACGAAAGAACTAAATTTGTTTTAAATAATTAATAAGTCAACCTACCTTTCTTTTTCAATGGTTATTGATCAAGGAACATTTTTAGTGTAGCTGTGAAACTGGTAAGATGGAGAACTAGATATCTAGGAAATGCTTATTTTCCTCATTTGTCATGATATTTTGTTAGTGTAACCAACGATAAAGGTCTTGCCGAAATCTTTGAGTGTAATATAGGTCAGTAGTCGACTTTGGTGTAAAGTTAGCTAAACTGCCCTACATAGTTTAATTGCATGTGAATACCACAAAAATATTAGTATTCATTCTGATGTTTATTTCTTAAATGGTTTCGATTTCAACGTGTATTTTGCATTGATGCAGTGCTGGCTTTTTTAAACTGAATATTTGAACTGCGTCCGCCTTGGATGTTTTGTGTGTCAAGTTTTGCTCTTCATATAACTGACTAACTTGAATGTATTGTTAAAAATCAGTATGCTATCCAGCTTTTAAATTGAATTCTATTCTTTTTGAAAATAAACCTGTAGGATCTTGATTACGACCAACAAATTAATTATGAATCAAATTTCCGTGATGTACTCTGCTTATTTCCCAGTTTACAAACTGGGCTTGATATAAATATCAGGTTTACTGGGTAAGTAGACTATTTTTCATAGTAATAATAATAATACTATTTCTTAGTTTTATCTTCATTTATACTAAGGAAATTGAGTAACTAGGTAAAATTAAGTATCACCTTTTCATTAAACTAACCATCGGTAAACTGATGGCTGGTTACAAATCCTCATTTACAATTAAGCATGCTGAAAAAAGGTTATACAGTTCCACTGATTGATTAGATATTACCGAAATCTCTTAAATATGTGGCGGAAATTTGGATTTATTAAAGTTAGTTTTGAATATATGAAATTTTCTCTAGGTTACAATGTTGCTAATCATTTTACCTAATGACTAATTAAACATTTCACTTAATTCTCCTCGTTTTAATAATCCTATCGGCTAATATGTTCTTTATAAATGAGTAAATAAGACCTTAAGATAAACTCCAGAAGTTCTATAAAGCAACAACTGTGACCGATAGAGTTTAACTATGTAGTGAATGTGACAGTTCTCACCCACATCAATATTACGAATTAACTGAAGTTGGAAATATGGATCACTAGATTTTAAGTTCAGTAGTCGTCCTTAGTTAGCATGCTCAATGTAATATCTGTAAGCGTTGAGTTTGGAACTGTCTTAGAGGAGGATTTTATGGAAAAGATTTTTGGATTGTCAAATGAATCAATCCAGTGCTATTCTATGGATGGATATACAACGATACCAAGTGACCGAGTGATATGGACTGCTCATAAGCGTTTGGACTGAACTAATATCAGAGGACAAGTCAGTTGTTCAATTGAATAGGTTTTTCTATTAAAAAAATAACCCGCTTATGTACTAAATATTGAACACAAAAATACTCATGGTCAAAAGTAATTTAATAAATAATTGATAAATGGATATGACATCCATAGGTTATTTACTGTCCAATCGAATTAATACTTAATTATCAAGCTTAATTCTTGCTGTATCATATCAAAAAACCTTTTGGGGTCATGAATGTACACTGCTGAGGAGTCCTACATTAGAATAAAATGATTGTCTAGTGTACCTTAGTTACTAATGATTGCTTAGCTAAATTTAATTTATGATGTGCAATATCTTTAAATAAGTATTTATCATAGAATTACAACTTTGTCTTGACTCTTTAACCTTAATCTGTGAATCCTAATAGCAAATTTAATCTACATGTGAAACTGTGATGGTGAGATCTTTTTCATTATTCTCAATCAATGCATATACTCTCTAAGCTTGAGGTACAAATTTTTACTTGTTTTATGAAGTTAACAAACTATCTGTTCTTAACAAATGTTTTTGTCTAAAAGAAATATTTTAAATCCTCAAACTAATTTACTTTTTTTGAAGATAGCACACCTCGAGGAAACCACTAACTTAATGGTTCATGTAAATAAATTGGTTTTTGGATTTTTATTTAATGAAGTAACTCAACTCTAGTGGGTGGATGCAGTGAGCTATACAACATGAAACTTTTATTTAAGTTACTGTCAACCATTTTTAAAAGGATCACTCTCTATTGTTTGATTTCTTGAGGTCAAAACTATTGACATAAATGATTCGAAATAATTCCAAAATTTATGAGATACTTCTAAACTTTGTTGATCGCTTTATTTCCGCATTACATATCAACTTGGTTAAATAAAATACAAACGGGATAGTGTTTCTCTGATTCTTATATTTAGGTTACTAAAATGATAATAATGTAACTCATTTACCAAGTAAATAATTGTATTCTCGATCCTTAGCTATACTTCGTAATTTTAACTAAACTATATTCTTTATCACGTACGATTATTGTTCATTAATTCACTGATTGTACTACACTCTTCGCCCTTTGTTCTGCACAATACTATCGATTAATTTATGTGACACACTTTTTGGTACCCTATTATACCGTAATTTGTGTGTATTAAATTATATTAAAAAGTTTGAAAAATCCGTATGCATTTATGTAGGGTACAATTGACTAGTCGTGCTCCCAGTTACATCAATAATTAACAACCTTCGCATTTCAGTGCGCTATGTGTTTATTGTCTAAAGCATACACTAATATTGAGTATAGTTGAACCTTAGTTGTTAAGAAATAAGTGTCGAGTATCTTTGTATTCAACTGTAAAGAAGGATCTTGTTCAGTGAGTTTAATAAAAATGTAGATCTGTAACAATTTTTCGGTGAAGTAAATTATTAACTTAACATAGTCTGTGTTAAGTAGCTGTGTATAATAGCTATGATCAAACACTTTAATAGTTTGTTTTCACTACTGAACAATACTGAATGTATAATACCATTTATTGAGTAGTCCTTATATGTTACATTGTCTTTTAATTTTTAACAGACTACGCGCTCATTGATTTAAACACTTGACTTCTAACAACCACCTAATTAGATTAGTTTAACCGGATAGTATAATTAGTTTTCAAGTGGTAGGTGCATTATCAATCATAGAGTGTCAGAATGTTTTAATAGTTACACTAAGTTCAACATGAGTTAGAACTAGGATTCACTGATTGTAGCACTCAAGTGTTGAATCACACTGACTAATCTATCTGATAATAATAATCTTTGGATTTTGTTTTACTTGTGAATATTTGTTTCAATTAATGTTTTAAGTATATTGTTATCTCACTACTTATTTTGTAAGTGTTGCAGATTTTGAATACACTCCAACATTAAGCTTATTTGATTTGTTCAACATACACATCTATCATGGTTGGCTTGTGGATCCTGATGAACATGATTTAGCTGCAACTGTTGGTAATCGAACTTATAATCAATTAACTGAAGAATTACTTCGATTAGAATCATCTGATAATTATGAGGATTTAAAAAGAAGTAAGTGGAATATGTATGTCATTTTTTCTATCATTCAATATAGATAGAATGTAATTCTTTTTTGTATGAATGAATAATAATTCATATACTAGAAAGCGTTAATGTATGAATAAAAGAAATATTCTCTTATGGTCAATAAATGTTGAGATCTCTGCTCCAGTATATAAGAATATTGCTTGTGGTGTGTAACTCACTCTGTTTCACAGGAAAGTATCGATCGTTTGTTTACGTGTCTTGTAGTCGTGATAGTTTCGTGAGATCAATATTTCATTGTATAATTGTATATTTCACCCAAAAAGGACTAATCGTCTATACTATGTTTTTAAATTCTAATTTGTGACAGTAAAAAACATAATCATATTACTGCAATTACTTCTTTTTTCTTTTGATATTTCCAAATATTATTGTACATATTATTTCGCTGTATGCCAAATTATTTAATCGTACAAAGGAAAATTTAATTTGATGGGATACTAGTTTGAGTGTTCATCTTTTAATTGACTTGTGAAATTATCTCGTTCAAATTTCATTGAATATTTAAAGAACTTTCTTTGACGACTCGATAAACCTAATCCAATTATCGTTATTCAGTTTCACAAATATTTTCATAGTGAATTGAATTTAACGTAACCTTAGTGAGTGAACGGATATCCATATCTATATGGATAATCGAACCCATGACCTTGAGATCTCATGAAAAGTCCATTGCCATTGCACTAATCCGTTTCAATTCATTGGTACACACTGTCCTACAGAATTTACGTTGGGATACAATGTGTCCGTCATCTAAGGTTATCAGTAAGCGTCAACCTTTTAGAGGACTTAGTTGACTCTACAAGGTTAAAATGCAGAGTATCCATTCTAAAGCACTTCACTCATAAGCACTGGCTAATTACTTCATGAAATCGTCTGTAAAGATCCAGCTAGAATTATTTGGTTCTTTTTATTCCAATCCCTACCTATAAGTGTTATGCCCTGGTACGGCCGAGAGTGGAGAGAGTCCGTTCTCCCTCTCGAAATGCTCTCACATGGCCACGCGTATATAGCCCCTGCCAGGGAAGTCCTACTCACTGCCTTCTCGTGGCGGTGTTGTTTACGAAAATGAGAGGACGAAAAACGAATGTCCGGCGCTTTAACCAGATCTCAAACCAATGGTGCACATGGGCTCCAGTATCCTGAAGGAACAAATGGCGTATGAACCAATCGTTGGTCACCGGCTACCATGGGACTGCATCTCCTTACGATGCTCCACTGCCTTGTGGATCAGACGTTCAGATCAAAGGCTCGGGGTGTGGCCCCCTAAGAAAACCACCTGCTTCGGTTTGGGCACCTGGGCAGTATCACAGCCCTCACAAAAATCAATTGAGATTCGTGTGGCGCATATGTATTTGGTGCCTCCTTGTACCAATACCTATGTGTTAAAATAAATAAATAAATATTCTGTTAAAAAGATTGGTTTAATACTACCCCAATGTAATGAAATATATAGTAAGTAATTTTTTTTCATATTTGAACAATAGGTATACTTGTTGAATGGTTTCTGAATGAAAGTGGTTCACAATTAACGTTTCATGGTCTAAGCCAGCTAGTTACAACTTTACACGATGAAGAATTGGCTGTGTTTTTTCGAAATAATCACTTTAACACCATATTAAAACATAAGGTAAGATGTAAATCCATTGTTTTAAATATGTGAATGGCCTCATGTTAGTTTGGCTTGGTTAAATCTCGTGACTGATAATTTTATCATCATCGTATATATATATATATATATATATATATATATATATATATATATATATATATCGATTTCGAAAAATGTTTCTAGTCATGTGTCACATTCCACTGTATGAAAGAGAGCGAATAACGAAAATCTCTATCAATCGACATGCACTATGATTTAGCATGATATGATCGAGTAATAACTATGCACTATTTCAAACTACCAGGATATGTAGCTACGACTTAACTTTTAAATGGGACGAATCACTTACTTGGAAATCGAAAAAACGAAAATTATTAAATATCATTTTTATAAATAACGAGCTGTGAATATATTGCATGTGGAACTCATTGGTTATCCTGTAAATTTAAGTCGGCGAAACTACTGGTGGTTTGTTGGTTAGAACAGTGGATCGATGGCTCAGTGGTTAAGGCGTCCAACATTCAACATTGTTAAGCTTGGATTCGAATCACGCTCCACTTGCTTCTGTTCAGGAAACAGGATAGTATCACTTGCCCTCACACCTAGAGAATGGCTCATACCCAAAGTACCTGATAAACCAGTTAATCTGACTTAATTGATTTGGTTAAAGCAATCGACCTCAATCTATGGGTTCTAACATGGACATACATATACAAAGCGCTAGTTGCTATGACGGACTATTGCCCTTAGCACAAATTTATTTTTGCAATTACAGGCACATAAAATGCAGATAACTACGGATTTCCATCTAAAAATTTAAAATTCATGAATCGAACTCATTTAATATCGACAATATTTCCTTATTATCTTGCTTTTTCCTTAAACGTTTGTAGTGTACGTCTATAAAATTATCTCAAGTCTAACATTCTTGAATGTATATATTCTTTAGTGGTTTTGTGTCTATTAATTTCATATACTGTATCCGCTAGTAAAATTAAGAAGAACCTATTGCATTCTTCTTAATAAGTGTTACAAGTTTGTCGGCAGTTTTTTAAGCAGTTCCTGCTTAAAATTAGCCACATTGTATTCATTGACTTGGCACGTTTAGTCACTAGTCTGAGCGACCAAACATTGGATGCATTTCATTTGATGAAAAACAAGGTCGTTAGTTTCGCTATGATAACGCTTTTACGTTTTAAACTTCTTATCAGTCAGAAAGCTTTCATATTTGATTTAAGGTATGGTGACACTTAGATACAGAGGTATTTGGAATGATAAGAAATGGGATAATCGTTTCTCATTTGACTATATATATATATATATATATATATATATATATATATATATATATATATATATATATATGATTGCATCATTTCGACGCGAATTGTAAAATTCACTTTGTTAAGTTTTACAGTTTGCATGATATATTACGCCCATCAGCAAACATAAAAGTTGTTAAGAAAACTATCAAATGAAACTTTCATCAGTAATCATTTGCTCAATCAAATTAGATTTTTAAAAAATGAAGACAACTCAACCAAGATTTTATTTTATTCCATGATTTAATTAATATTGCTAACAAGATAAAAGTAAAAAATAATGACTGATCAAATGTCCTCATGACCTTGTTTTCCTTTAGATGTGGGCTTAATTATTGCTTACTGTCCTTCAATATTATGCATGTTTATTAATTTGTTTCTCAGGGTTCCGTAATCATATATTTATTAAAGTACTCAACATCTGAGCCCACCCGCCAATTTATAATTTTTGTGTAGTAGATACGTAATATAGTTAGAGTTTTTGCAAAGTTTTAGACAAAATGAATAGGTTTTTTTATCCCACTTTCTGTTATCTCGGCTGTATGTAAGGTGCGAAATCCAGAGGCATACGATAAATTGGTTTGAACACAGTGGTTAGCTTTTAGTATTTTCAGTTTAATGACTGGTATAAAGTGACTAAATTTACACTACTAGAACTTATTATTTTTTCTCTGTCGTTCACTCAATTATTAATGAGGATTTTCAGAAATATGATGAACTCCCCTTATATTATATTATGTGACCAATGTAACTTGCTCCACAAAAATAGTTGGATAAATAAATACAGAAATATGTTTTGGTGGATATCCATCTTGACTAAGTAAGCAGATCATAAATAGTTTTGAGTTCCTTTCCGAAAGTCTTGTCCAAGCAAATTAATTTAACGCTGTCAACCAACCCTTAGTTAGATTGTGTTGTAGTGAATGCTGAAGCGTAATAAATGGATTTAAATGTCGTTTTATTATTTAATATGGTTTTCTTTTTAATAGAAACTCGAGAAGCGAAACGATGTCACTTCTTTTCTTCTCTCATTAGAAAATGTGACTGATGAACTTTAGTAAATTAATCCAGTCAATGTGTGATAGCTCATACTTGTTTTTCAGAACTATCAATGTGTCGTTCATGCAGAGATAAAAAAACAGAGTTTACTGATGACCTAAACAACTTTTCTAGCATTTACTTAGAAGTTTACTTGTTCATTGATTCAAATCTTCAATCCAATATCTCAGTTTTCATTCTTTATGAACTCTATAGTAAAATATAATCAAATATTGTTATATCTTCCATAACACTAACAATAAAATTTTTCATCTTTATTAACTGAATTCTTCACAATCAATACATCATGGAAATTTCTTCTTGCTCAAAGGAATAATAATATTGAATAATTGAAACTAATCGACCTAATTCATATAATCTTAATTAAATAAAGACCACAAATATGGACGAATTATAAGAATAGATAAATATTTACCTGTTAATTTATATAGAAGTTTTAAAGAACGCATTTTAAAAGTTCATGATAACAAATTTGTTGAAGATAAAGATTGATGTCAAGGCTGATGTCAGCCTATGATGAGGATTAAAGTACCTCCACATCACTTTGATTACAACATAGCCTTACCATTTTAATTTATGTTACTATGACTCCATATTTAACTTGTCGTTTTCAGTAAATATTCTCCAAACATAGAAGTATCGAGTATTTTACTTTTTCAAAGTTATGTGATTAGAATTATTGTATTTCTTAGGCAAAAAGTAACTGATTGATGTTATTAATTTTTTTTATAATCATATTTGTTTTAGGATTCAATATTTGTATTAGTCACAGATATGGGTCTTCTCAATGAACCAAATATTGTTTGGGAGTTATTAAATGATCTAGATGGTGATACACAATTTGTTGATTGTTCATTTCAATTATTTTGTCCAACAACATCTGATTCATCAATTCGAAAGACATCTGATGCTGTTCGTGTTATTACAATTAAATCGGATAAATTGGATTCAAAATCTAGCACCGATTGTAAAAGTACTAGTAATAGTAATAACAGTAAAGATAATTTTGTTGAAAAACAATACTATCCTGATTCCATACCTGTGTATAATCTCACTGAGAGTAATTCGACTTCATTAGAGTGAGTGTTTTTGATTTCATATGGAACTAAAACAATACAATATCGTTTTCAATCAGATCTTCATCAGGCTTTTAAACACTTGTACTTTATAATTGTTACTTATCATGCTGATAGTTATTAAATCATGAATTGATTTTAGCTAGAACACCGTTGAAAGCCAGGGAATACACAATAGCTTCTCATCGGTGCACATGAATTCCAGGGCCTTCAGTCCCGGGTGCGTATTCTTAACATCTTTAAACACTACCTCAGTAGTTTAGGGGTTAAGCTTTCGTGTGCAAGACCAGTTCTGAGTCCAATTCCATGTTGCGGGTGCGCACTGTTGAGAAGTCTCACACTAGAACAAAAAAACTATCCAGTGCTTCCAGATTTTTGATGCTTATTCAAATAAGATCTATTGCATGATTTAATATCTGTGAGGATTTTAAAATTTCCATAAACCTATACTGACTATCGTGTTTATTTACGTAATTTATTTTGTGGTTATCATTGACTTATAAACTAACTTTCTTGATTGGTGTAATATGTGCACATAAATATTACTGCGCATTAGAGTAATAAGGCCTGATGAAAATCTTATTGAAAATAATATTGTTTGTCCAAATGTGTTATTCGAATTCAAAAGATAAGTATTTTTAATGCATAAGATTATGTTAATTTGGGAATATTTATGCAATAATACAGATTCTTATTTTCAGTTGTGTAGTTTATAAAGAAAAGTAAACTTAGGTTGTCGTATAAGTTGTACTAGTAACTACTGAATTATTGCTCTGTGAATCTGTTAAGTGTTTTATTTATTGATAACAAACTGTTTTGGTTCAATTTGAGAAGATCGAAAGAGTATCCTACACAGAGTAGAATGATAATTTTGTAAAGTCATGAAAAAAAAGAAAAAGATTGTATGATCAAATAGTAAATGAAAAACAATTGTAACTGATATCATGTACAGTTCAATCAACAATTTATCGAAGATGCAGAGGGGGGTCAAACGTCTTAAGGATTGATCAGAAATATTCTTGTTACCTTATTGGTCTCCGATGCCCCCAAATGCCCTGGTACGACCGAGAGTGGAGAGAGTCCGTTCTCCCTCTCAAAATGCTCTCACATGGCCACGCGTATATAGCCCCTGCCAGGGAAGTCCTACTCACTGCCTTCTCGTGGCGGGGGTGTTGTTTACGAAAATGAGAGGACGAAAAACGAATGTCCGGCGCTTTAACCAGATCTCAAACCAATGGTGCACATGGGCTCCAGTATCCTGAAGGAACTAATGGCGTATGAACCAATCGTTGGTCACCGGCTACCATGGGACTGCATCTCCTTACGATGCTCCACTGCCTTGTGGATCAGACGTTCAGATCAAAGGCTCGGGGTGTGGCCCCCTAAGAAAACCACCTGCTTCGGTTTGGGCACCTGGGCAGTATCACAGCCCTCACAAAAATCAATTGAGATTCGTGTGGCGCATATGTATTTGGTGCCTCCTTGTACCAATACCTATGTGTTAAAATAAATAAATAAATAAATTAGTCTCCGATAAATTTGATATTATTTTTTTTGAAGAAGTGCAAACTTGTTGGAATAGTTTAATTTTAATCACTGGAATTTAGGAAAATTTAATTTAATTTCATAATCTCTTGGGTTTACTTTCCATAGATAATGATGAGTAGTTTTGTGACATCATTTTTTGATTGTGTGACTGTAGATGGTACGATTAATTGTCTGAGTTAATACATGTTATATACTTGACTGATAAATGCCCATGTAAAACCTGAATGATTGACTGAAGCCTCCGAAGTGCAGGTACTGGAAGACAGGAAGTGATACATTTCTACACTAAATGTACATGATTGAAATCGATTTTTAAAAAATCAATGATTTTATAATTCCTACTAACCTATGAAATGAAGGCATGATTATCAAGTTTACATATTGCGCGTTATATCAAGTAGGATGTCCTAGTAGTACAAGTGTAAAGCACAACAGTAAGAAGGAGGAATGTATTCATTTTGAGAAGTTACAAAGTACTCATATAATACAATGTACATAGCCTTCAATCTTCCTTTTGTATCCTTCGGTGTGTTCTGTCATCTGAACTGTACTCTCGTCTGATCTCGAAGTGTTTTGCCAACTCCGTGATCTCAATGCACTTAAGCTCCTCACTCCGTGTGACAGATGTAGCAACTTCGACGTCATGTTCTTCTACACCCTACTTACAAACAATCGTGTGAGTAGCGTTCACTACACAGGGAGTAAATTTTCTGAATCTTAAAGCGTTCAGCAGAGTAGTTTATTATGGTCCGCTTTATAAAATTATTTCTTTTTTTAATTGTTCAATATAAAACTATAAAATTTCCTGTTAAAAGTTTTTCGAAGTTGATTATAGTATTTTTCAATGAGTTATATTTTAAGTAAATACCCTGAGACTAAGCACATTAATTCATTCTCCATCGATTTGTTTTCAATAATTTTCTTTTGTTACATTTTAGTTATGATTTATGCAAAATTCTTCAAGAAGAAGAAATCAGAGCTTCGAATCAAGATCCAGAAACATTTTGGAAATTATACAAATAAAATATATACCTCAGTAAGTAGGAAAATACTAACTTAAAATAATTACCAATCAATTGTGAATAGTTTATTTTATTATATTGCATGAACGGCAATGTAATTTAGGACGTTCGTGTTGTTTTTGGGAAAAATTACTTTTTGATTAATTTATATACTTTCATTACAGTTTAGCTTCTTTTAAATTCCTCATTACTCTAAGACATGATTTAAATGAACTTGTTTAGCTTTTTGCCTACTTTATTTCACCTTGTATTCTTTTGTTAAATAAAAAATATCTTATGAAGTAATGGTTTGTATGACAAGATATTCTACTTTGTATAGAATATGTTATTTGTAAATGTGTGTACTTCTGTTCATATCAAGTGGAAGATTTGTTTTATTCTGATGGTTGGACTTGACTTTTACGGTAGCATCATTTGAATGAGGACGCTACTACTTTTTTTGTACTCCGCTATTTATACGTACCAACTTTTTTAAATGTGAGTCTGTTTATCATCAAGTTGACCGTCATCATTATTAAATGATTGTCATAAGCAACGTAGAACCAGGTAAGTGTGTTGGTTGTTCATGTTACCACATCCCATTAGTACAGCATGATGAAATTGTTAAGGTAAGTACCAGAGTAGTAGAGGTAGTAACAGTATCAGTAATAATAAAGAATGTTCGAGAAGAAATGAAAAATACTTATAAAGTAATTAGGTAATATAGAAATTTAAAATCTAATGGAAGACAAAAAACAAATGTACCTGTGCCATCGTGAACGATTTCGAACCGTATCACCCAAAGACTTTGACTATTTGGTTAAGATAGTCGGGCGAACCCATTCGTTGATTGTAGGAAATCATTTCCAAACCTGCTAAGTAGTAAGTGAAGCCATAATAGATATATCATTTTTCTATCATAAGATTTTACTTCTATATAAAAAATGTGACATCAACATTCGTATTTGATCTTAAATGTGAAAAACTAGCACAAAATTTGATTTCAGCTAGATATTTTATTGATAAAGTGTATCGAATTTTTCAAACTACAACTGTCGTATTTTATCAGTCAAACACGTAGAATAACAACATTCTCGTATAGTAACTGGGTTAATATATAACTTTTTTTTCATATGTCATTTTATTAACTTGTTTAGGTTCATTTAATCTGTTTCGGACCACATTTTTTCGTATAAGGACTAGTGATACTTGTTGAACTATGCAAATAAAAATAAATAGGTTCAACGGTCTGAACCTGTGTTAGTATCATTATTATTAGTAGTAATGGCTTTATCCAATATTTTATGTTCAGTACAATATGGAATGCTCAGCAGAAATAATGAGCCATAACTTAAAAACAACGAAAAACTAAAACGTTTTTGCCAGATTAAACCAAGTAACTAATTTTTTAATAAACTAACTGTTAATTTCATTCGTCAATAGACATTAAAAATGCATATTATGCTTATTAAATATCTCCAGTAGTAATTAACAGTGGAATTAGGTGAATGACTCATTAGACGTCCAACTTTCAGATCAACAGGCTAGATTACTTGAGGATCGATCGCGTATCGTCCAAATCGCGACACTACAGTTTATCGTTGAACAATCAATTTAATGGAACTCATCTCTGTACATCAACTTCCTTAACTATGAGAAAGCGTTTGACAGCGTGGATTGGATGACGTTATGGAACCTTCAACACTATGGTGTACCTGGTAAGGTCGTCAACATCATACAGAATTCATACGAGTGACTACACTGCAAAGTCGTTCGTGGGGGGCTAGCTCACAGATACATTGGAAGTGAAGATCAGTGCTAGACAAGGCTGCTTCTCCCTTCCTTTCTCTTTATTCTGGTGGTTGACTGGATTACGAAGGCCTCGACATCTGAGGGGAAGTACGGAATGCAATGAACAGATTGGATGCAACTAGACTATTTGGACTTTGCAGATGACCTTGTCCTTCTATTCCATATACACCAACAAATGCAGGTCAAGACAACAGGTGTTGCGGCAGCCTATGCATCGGTAGGCCTCAGCACACACAGGGTAACATGCAAGATCCTCAAATACCACGCGAAGATTGACAACCTAATCACACTTATTGGAGAAGCTCTGGAAGAGGTGGAATCTTTTACCTACTTGGGAAGCGTCATCGATGAAGAAAAAGGATCCGATGAAGATATAAAGGTAAGGATGGGAAAAGCAAGGACCATATTCGTATAGTTGAAGAACATATGGAACTTAAATCAACTATTTGTGAGCTAGATCAAAGTGAGAATCTTCAATACGAACGTCAAAAAAGTTCTGCTGTACGGAGCTGAAACTTGGAGAACTACTACAACCTTTGATGGAGTTTTGTTCTCTAAGCTGGATGGTTTGGTCGTGGAGCTTTCATCGTTCTTCTGAATGACATCATCAGCACAAACTTCAGATTGAAGTGAAGTGTTCGAATTTCTCCGTATGCGTTTCACAGCTTGTTCTGTACACCTCGATGTTGATTGGTTCTTATTTACCTTAAATTGGTCATTGTTTACTTTTTTGTTTTGGTTTTGTCAATAAGAACCAATCAACATCGAGGTGTACAGAACAAGCTGTGAAACGCATATGGAGAAATTCTAACACTTCACTTCAATCTGAAGTTTGTGCTGATGATGTCGTTCAGAAGAACGATGAAAGCTCCACGACCAAACCATCCAGCTTAGAGAACAAAACTCCATCAAAATCATCTACCTGAGCTACAAATATTCTCCACCATCTCAACTACTACAACCATCATCAAAAATGTACCAGTATTTCTAAATAATTGTCTATGTAAGATGCCCAATATCCGTTGATCGGATGCCATGAGCAACAGCCTACTGTGGAAGAGAATAAACCAGCATCGAGCTGAAGAGGAAATTAAGAAAAGACGTTGGAAGTGGATAGGACACACATAGAGGAAATCATCAAACTGCATCACGAAGCAGGTGCTAAATTAAAATCCTAAAGGAAAACGGAAAAGCGGAAGATAAAAAACATTTTGTGACGCTTATCGAATTCGAACACCAGAAGAATGAGTAGCAATCGGAAACATCTGAAAAGGAAAGCTTAGGACAGAGTTGGTCGGAGAATACTTGTGGGCGGTCTATGCTCCTCCACGAAGGTTAACAGGCGTAAGTAATCAAGTTATTTATAGTTTCTTCGTTTTTATTAAATAAGTGATAAAAAGTACAATATAGATTTTAAGAAATTTCAAATAATTCTTTTTTTAGTTATGGGACGACAATATATTCTTTATCTCCATGCTTATAAATGTTCAATAAAAATTTACTATTATATTAATATTTTTTTCATTTTCTTTTTCTCACTCTCCCAACTTATTTACAGGCTTGTAATTGTTCTTCCTCTATACTTCACATTTTTTTACTTGACTATCGTTATAGCCGTTAGTTCAATATGAATAATTAGTTACTAACTAATAACATTTTCCTGAGAATTATCGACATATATATATGGTCAGATAAAACCTCAAATTGTAGAATACATCACAAAGATATTCAAAATCAGATTCATTTAGTATTGTTTTTATTTCATGACTGATTTATATTGCTATTATTATTTTTATTATTTTTTATTATAAATCTTCTTACACTATATATACGTATATATTTCTCATTAGTTTAATCACCTACCATTATTCATTATTAGTGCCAATTGCACAATAGTAACAATATGATGTGAATTTTGACGGTAATGATTATAAAAATGATTCTTGTTAAAAACAATACCTCTTTCATTTGTTATACTTATTTTCTCTTATGTATTTGTTTCATTGATATCACTTTGAACATTTGTTTTTGTTTAGTTTTTATTTCAACAGTTCATTTCTGTTTTGTGATAGTTGTTTACCCATAGATTTTTATTTTATTTGGAACCATGTTGTTTTCCTCTCATTTCTTGCATCTGCACATTTCTAGATAGGAAAAAATGAAAAAGGCATGAACATTGCATAGAGTTATTGTGTTGATTATTTTTATAAAGCCGAAAAAAAGAAATAAATTAAACATTCACTCTTTTTGTCTTTTCTAAACTTTCATTGCTGCTCATCTTTATTCAATGAAGGGAAAATTACAAAATATCAGTGTATTGTTTTTTTTAAAAAAAATTCAATGTAGATCTTCCTATTTATTATCATTGTGTTGTGTTTCGTTTGATTTCTTTTTTTTCTAAATATTTATTAGACAATTTATGATTTGTTTATTTTCAACTATACTTGCAACGGTTGTTCTCTATCATCATCATAAAAATAAAGATGATTCGTTTGTAAACTGATTTTGTTAACAATAAAATCAGCATGTATACATTCATCAGTATTATCTGGTTACGTACTTTGTTGTTTCTCTTCTTCTTTCTACATATTCACTCGCATTACCTGTAAATGTAGTTTTTTTAAAGAAAAATCATATCATTTTGTTTTCCTACTTTTTTTTCTGTGTATATACACAATCATTATCGTTATTGAGTGAAGTACATTACGTATATATAGACTACCTAGATATATGAATATCTTGATAATGATAGTATCTACGTTATTTTTTCTTTGTTTCCTTGTTGTTGGTTGTTTGCATGGTTACTTATGTATTTTTTTCTTTTCAGAATAAACAGCATACGAAAGTATTGTTTTATTTTTCAATATGAATGAATTTTAGTACATTACATAATGTTGTTTGTTGTATAGTTCATATTTTAATTTATTTGACCTATTAAGGTTTGTTATTGATTGCTGCCTTATGACTACTATTAGTACTATTCAGTGTTCAGAAGATGATCAATCGGATTATATTTGATGATCTTCAATATTATATAATTAAAAATAAGATTGTTTAGTTAGATAAGTGTACATGACATTAAACAACACTGCTCACATATATCAATTTGAGTTCAGTATGAACACACATATACACGTAAATTTCTTCCGAAAGGTGTTCTATGTACTTATGTAATTAAGTGAACTTGTGAAACAGAACGATCAATAAATGCGACTCATGATCTTAATGAATGAGATGTTATATTATAAAAATTATTTTGGTAAATAAATTAGAAAATAACATTTATTAACCTGAATAACTTTTAATCATCATTAAACTTTTTAAAAAGTTTTCATTATGGAAGAACATTGTCTTTGTTAGAAGTTAAACTACATTTACCGAATCAAAACAAGGATTTTCAGGTTTTGCATCCAGTATAATACTTTTAAATCGCTGAATTGGAATCCAGTCTTTTGTGTTTTCATAGTTCCAAAAGTATTATTTTCATCACATGACACGACTGTATTGCAGTCTGTGAATTAAAACAATTGAGAAGTCCAAAATTGGATTGAAATAATTTTTCAGCACACACACACTCTCTCCCATATATAGTCATTTCGAAGCTGATTTCGTCAGTGATAAAAGCTAATTTCAAAAAGAATTAAGTGCATTGCTACAATTTTATTGCAATGTATAAGTTGAGGTAATTATTGGCAGATACCGAAACTATCTGAAGCTATCCATATAAATCTTAGAATAAACTGTTCGTTATTATCGTATTGGTTGGATGCTCGTTTCATATCTTGCTCTTCATGTTACTGTAACTTTGTTAATATTAACCTGTTATTGTCAATATCATAATCATTCTGAAACTTATTAGCTGGTTCTATTTAGGAAGCTTTATTGCACACCAGTTCATTTTTTCAACAGACTAGTCACATTTTTGTGAAATTATTTTTAAGTTAAGCACTTCTTTGTACTAATTTTTTAAAGCATTTAAAATGATTGTAGTACTGGATTTTTAAAAGTGTAACGGTGATTGAACTTACTGCTCAGATTTCAACACGATAACTACTATTTTTGTGTACATTATTGTCCTTTTAAAACTCTTTAAACAGTCTTCCAATGAGTTGTTGTTTGTTTACATCTTCACTTTCTACCCATAGAGAGCAACTTAGTTCTAGCATCCATAAATTATAATATACACATGTCATTATCACTTAAAAAGCTTTTTGTAGTCCTTTTTCCGATTTAAACGCACTTCTATATATTTTATTAGATGTAGGAATGTCACATCAGGAGGCCCACTTAGATATCAGTTCGGGGATAAAAATATGAAAGATACATAATTATCTAATTGATCGTAAAGAAACAATTCATTCTGAAAAAGCCTGAAAAGATATCCAAACAGCTTTAAATATAGTAATAATATCTATCGATAACTTAATTCAAAAGGTTATGAAAGTTCAATGAGCATCTACTGAATTAATAAATTCTCAAAAATGATCCTGACAGGCTTGGGGACGGTGAAGAGTGACAACTCAAAGTTAAACTAACAACGTGTTCATATAATTCGTTGGCAACGAAAGCAAAATAGATGGAACAGGTAGTGCAATAGGTAACAGTAGACAACTCTGCTGACTGAACAAGCAAACTGGTATTAAAAAAGCAGGTGTTAGTAAGGCTCTTTTGGAAAAGGATGGATCTACCATTCACTCTCAATCTATGAGATTAGATTTATGGTTAGAACACTTCAGGTAGCAGTTCAACTGGTCTTAAGCTACCCTTCTGTTACCCTCAAATGTCCTAGTATGGCCGAGAGTGCTGGGGTTAGCTCTCCATCTCGAAATGCTCTCACATGGCCACGCGTATACAGCCACTGCCAGGGAATTCCTACTCACTGCCTTCTCGTAGCAGGGATGTTGTTTACAAAGTTGAGAGGACGAAAAGCGAGTGTTCGGCGTTTTAACCGCGTTTGTGGACTCAGAGGGTCCACCTAGGGGAGTTGGAAAACCCTGCTTCCAAATCGATGGTGCACATGGGCTCCAGTATCCTGAGGGAACAAATGGCATATAAACCAATCGTTAATCAGCGGCTACCATGGTACTGCATCTCTTGATGTTGCTCCACTGCCTTGTAGATTAGATCTAAGGGTCGAAGGTTCGGTATGTGGTCTCCTAAGAAAACCATCTGTTTCGGTTTGGGAACCCGCGCAGTATCACAGCCCACACACAAATCGAGTAATTTGTGTGGCGCATTTCTATTTGGTGCCCTTTTGTACCAATATTTATGTGTTCAAATAAATAAATATCTCCAATTAACTGGAATGGGAAATTTACAAAAGTCCCTTAAATTACTGACCACCTACTATAATTGTATTCCTTGATAATAAGGCAGTATTTTTCTCTGCTGACCAAGAGGTTATATGTCAATGTTTTCCATTGAAATAGGTACATATACCTGATGTAAACTCTCTGTTTAGATACTATTAGTCGAGTTATATCCTACTGATAATAGATGTCCCCTCAGAAAAATACTTTCGCTACCTAAATTTTCAGGGATGGCCTTCCAGGATGTTCTCTCGCTGACTTGGAACACTCAGCTAACATAATTCTATACAGCGAAAACGCTGATAAAATACAGTTTTCTGATCTGCTTGAATAATAACGTTAGCAAGCTTAGGATGTGTTTTTCTCCCTCTAAATACAGAGTGGTACTTCAAGCATTTTCTGTTTCGACGGCCAAACTTGTAATGGGAGTGAAGTAGCTGAGTTCTTTGACCGTCTCATCGGCCCTGATGGGTTTGTGTCCAAAGAAATCTTGGAACGAATTCAAAAAACCCTGTCGGTTCTTGCCAACGTACGTCGCTTGTGGCGTAAGCATAATGTCTATTTCCCAATAAAAGGGCGTTTATACTGCTATGTTCTCCCTTATGGATGTGAAACATAGTCTATGGGAACTTGGGGTAGTACACATCTGTGCTAGGTTCTGTGATGATGACGTTTGTCTGTCTATCAATGTATCATATTACAAGTGTTTAATTGTTTGTGAAATTAATGGGAAAAAAAGATATTTACTACTAAATCAACCGATGAAATACGTCTAGGCAATAAACTTACAGACTCGTTTCAATCTATATTCGCTTTTTGCTGTGTCTTTTCTCTCAATAAACGTCGATTTTGATTGTACCTGTGACATATATTGTTGTTCTCACAATTTTGGCAAGAGATTAAGTAACCGTGATTTTGTAACTCAGTTGACGCATTATTCCTTTGTTGAGTTAAATGAGGTGTATTTAATAATTATTTTGAAATAATGTTTTCATAATTTCAATTTGAAACATTCATTACTAAAATAGTTTATGTATTTAAATCTTGATCATATTGTTTTTATCATTGGTCAGAATGATAGTTCACTTTCTTGTAAGGTTCAGATTTTCAGCAAAAAGGTCATTACTATGAACTAGCAAAATAACTTTTTCAATCGTGTACAGTTTCTATTAATTGACCTTCATATTCACAAATTTGTTTTATTTACTTATTTGAAATATTTAATTTCTGTAAGAATCTCAAGTTTTGTGTTGTTTTTATTTGAATAATAGGTTTAATCTTTCAGTCTAAATACCGTTTATTATTGTTTTATTGAAAATACACTTTGAGGTGACAAAAACATGCATCAATTTATCTCAGAATAAACTGAAATCATGCTTCGTCTTTGTTCTCATATTCATCCATCATATGGTCGTTTCAGAGTGTTTTCATGTAAACACTCTAAAAAGTATATCCATTCTTCTATTCCTATTATATCTCAAAAGATAAATTCATTATCTATTAACCAAACAGAGTATGCTAAAACGTTGACAGATTCCTTAATTCAAGGTGATCGTTATAGTTTAGCAAGAGCAATTACACTTTTGGAATCTTCTAAAGCTGAACGTCGTGCTGAGGGTCAATATATTCTTGATACAGTAATAAAACATTTAGCGCAACAAGAACTAACAACTGGAAAGTTTACATTCAGAATTGGTAAGTTAATTTTTTTGTACTATTGTATCACTCATTGCCTAAAAAAACATCCTGTTTATTCATTCATATATCAGCACATAAAGTCATTTAAATCGATGAAGGAGGTTGTCTTAATACAGTATCCTGTCGTGAATTGCAGACCCTTGTTCAAACTTCTCCTCTAAAATCCTGTTTCACACGTAATAACTCAATCCGGTATTTCTTGTATTTTTCTGTTTGAATTTCGCTTCACAGCCTTGGGTTTATACACTATGTTTTACTGTGGCCTGCGGTAATTCCTCATTACGAACGGTTGGAATATTCTTCTAATACGAAACTTGATCTACACGGACTCGAAAGATCGGCCGACTGATATACGACACTTCAACAATAATCACTAACGCGATGGAAGACAGAGATCACGGAAGTTAAAGAAATGCTTGTTATACAAGAAGACAGTTTTATGATGTAGCAACTCTCCATATATCAACCGACAGTGCCCTTGGGATACAACAAAATTAGTAAACTAAAAGTGAGAGCAACCAATTGAATAGCAGGTTAGTGTGGAGATATGAATTTGACAAGTACTATCGCGGTTACCTTTAAGCGAAATAACTCATTTAACAAAGAACTAGATTAGCTGAGGTCTTACTAACATTGTATCATCTGAGTTGTATTACTAGTTGTTATGAAGACTGTGACTCAATCCAGTTACATAGATAGGTAATTGGTTTCATAGTTTTCAGTATGCAATGTACTTATAACTAAATTTGCTAATTTCTCACTGTTTGTTCTTCAGTAGTTTTATTTGCAATTTGACTAAAATATTTCCAACTTCCTTACTAATTTAGCTGCTTTTTAATACAAAAATGGTGTTTTGAGTTACTATCATTGATATTCATTCACTTAAGGGGTTCAACTACTAACGTCTGTTACCAAGTGAAACTAACCTACATGATATCTTATGAAATTTCAATGTTATATACACTGAATGTCATTCTTAAACAATATACTATTTACCATTTGCATTTTGTTTTGAGATTAGAAAGTAATAATATGACTAAATAATATAGTGGACCGAAAAGTATAAGTACAAAAATATTTTAATAGTTGAAATAATGAATCAATTGAAGCTAGACCACCATGGAAGACCTGTAAGCTGTGGACGGCCGTTTCGTCCTAGTATGGGACTCTTTAGCAGTGCGCATCCCGCGAGATTCGAACCCAGGACCTACCAGTCTCAAGTGCGAGTGCTTAGACACTAACATTAACACCGTTGGATGCCGGCTCAGTGGTCTAATGGTTAAGCGCTCGCGAGCAAGATTGATAGGTCCTGGGTTCGAATCTCGCGGGGTGCGGGATCGTGGATGCGCACTGCTGAAGAGTCCTATACTAGGACGAAACGTCCGTCCGGTGTTTCCAGGTTTTCCATGGTGATGTAGCTTCAATTGACTCATGATTCCAACTATTGAAATTACAAAAATCTCCACAAAACCCCTTCTGAGAAAAATATTTATAGATTTACTTCAAACAAATGTGCATAAACAAGTCAACTGTATTAATATAGTCAATATATCATACTGGAACAAAAAAGCCGTTCAGTGCTTCCAGATTTTCAATGGTTTTTTAACTTGAATCGGTTTATGATCTTAAGAATACTCAACAATCTCCACAACTCCGTACTGATAATTATTATGTGCACACTAGTGACTAGCTTCAAGAGAAATTTTCCAGAGTTCTAGTAGGAGGCCGTGACCAAAGGAGTTCGATATGCAATAGTAATACAGAGGGTTACTAGTTAAATGTCTAGCATCCGCGTGTTCATAAAGTCCGGATGTAACTCCTCAATTATGGTACGCGATTGTCAAACACAAGGAATTCTATTTGACTGAGATGTTAGGATATATAATTAACCAGAATATTGTTGAGGAGGAAGTTGTTTGAAAAATGTGCAACAATTATATTAGAAACCTGATTTTGTAACAGTGACAGCGGAGAGAACGAGAGTGCGTATTGCAACAAGTGCATAATCATACGGTAATCTATATAGTCATCAAAATAACAAGGACAGTTTTATACCGACATAAATAACTTTTTTTGATCAATAATAGCACTTATACAACTTAATCAAGTTACGAAAAATGTGAGTAACCACAGAAATTTTATAAATGAGGTTATTACTAATCATCTCTATAAGTATAGTGTTGTAGAGATTGTTCAGTTTCACTTAAATTGTAGTGAACAGAATACGGGTGGGGAACAATCGAATATATTTGAACACATCATTACAGAGCATCTCAATAGAATCTGACAACCATATATTAAATCGTTAATTTGCAAAATATCAATCCATCTTCTCAAACTTGACTGTTCTTGTTGCAAACATCAATCCATTGTCACAGATTTCATCGTTCATGCGTTTTCATACCAATTGCGTTCCGTTCCCGTTCTTTCCTCATCGACCTTCTACTGAAATACATTCTATGCCTGACCACCGTCATATACTACTTGTGTGGATATAAGTAACCCACACGATAAAATCAGTCAAGTTAATACGCAAATATTTATTGTACTTTTATGTTGTTGACCATAGCAGTAAGGGAAAATGTTAATTATATGAATGCCTAACAAAAAGTAACGATGATATATAACTCTCTAGTCAACACATACACATGTATTGATGATATAACATTAATTGCTGGAAGTTAGTCAAAAATATGCATACAGACTAATAAATATGCTAATCTAGCAAAAACCAGTTCGTGATTTCAACTTTGAAAATTCTACTATCTCAAGAAATCCTCTAATATATATCTTCATTTAATTGAAGCAACTTCTTGTTGTCACAACCCTGTAAACCCAGCAGTACAGCTTCACCCTCAAACCTTAAGTTTTTGTTTTTAGACTTACTATTCCTCAAACCACCCTCCTGGGACGATAGGACCTGAAAAATTTCAGTCAATATAGTTTGATTAGACCATAATGACATGACAGCGCAATCACCAGGTTAAAATAGCAGTTACGGTCAGTCCTCGAAGCACTGAATGAGAAATATTAAAGTTAAGCATACCGTACTTTACAGGGGTGGTGAATCGATTGGTGAAGTTGTAAATCCTCATTGACTGACGTGGTTAAGACATATGTTTTGTATGCTCAACTATCACTCTCCTGGACGAGCAATGCAATACTTTCTAGTTCAGATGTAGTTTTGAAGCAATCTACGAGAAGTCAAACAATTAAGTGGACAATCATCTTTCATACATTCAGCTAAATGTTAAGTTTTCGGAAGAAGCTGTACTGCTGAGTGTACAGGGTTGTGACAACAATAAGTTATTTCTCTAATGAACAGCATCTGCATCAACGCTACCTCCTCACAACAGAAGGACAAGTTTCGAAAACCACGACTCTAAAAATATCACACTTCACCCAATGGATTCCTGTATTCTTCGGTAGATCATTTTGAAGTGCAGTGCTAACACATAAAAAATTGTCACGAAACCTGTATCCAAAATGTCTCTTTAACTCTACGGTCAGGCTCTCAGGTTGCCAAAACTACCACTGGTTTAGTTTCCTTTTCAAGTACCCCTTAAAGAAATATTTTTCCACGGTCTGAATAACTGAGAAATAACAATTGCCTTCACACTTCTAACAGTATGCAATATCGTATCGTTCGTAATAAAACCCTATCTTTATCACCAAATATTACTTTTACTTCCATTATCAACTTTCATTATGATGGTGAACAGATAAATTGACAGTTATACAAAGAAGTAAATAATTAATCAATAAAATGTACACACTATTTGTATTTATCTATTGTCCCACCACTTCTAGTTGTACAGTTAGATTTTCCGGGGATATGAATGTTAATTTAAGCTTTCGGTATGTCGGAAGGAAAAGGCTGCTACCTTACTGCTCACTATCGAGGAAAGTCAGTTTAAGTCAGTTTATAGAGGCTTTCTTTCTGTGCTTATTTCTTATGAAGTATTTTTCGGCGCCCTCTGTCGCTATAACGTTCTTCACACGTTGGTTTCAGTAGGTTTTTCTGCGTCGACTGATATAAAAAAGAATCTACTCGTGTTTAGGAAAATACTGCCCTGTTTATAACTGGGGATTAGGGTAGAAAAATAGAGTAGCCAAAGTTACATCTAAATCACATTAACTTTGTGATTAAAAGAGGTTTGTCAGTGAATCATACGTCAAAAGAAATATTATGATTTTCAGAATAAACTAGGGACAAAATTAAATGTTAGAGTTTTACAAGCTTTGGATTGATTGATATAACGTCCCTCAAGATAGCTTCCGCTGTTTGTCATGGCTTCCTTTTTCTCTGTTCGTAATAATTAATTAACTCATAATAACCCAACTGATTTATAAAGTACATGTTTATGTACTAGGCTTATAGCCACACTGTTGGTAAATGTTCTAGCGATACTTCCCGGCTACTCAAATCTAAATAGAGGATACAGGGTCAGAACATACAAACTATCTCTTGGAAGTCAATGGATTAAGTTATGCAAAAATGCATTAATTTCTACTTTTTTTAGTGCAATTTATCTAATATTATTGATTCCCTTAAAATATATTTCAAGGTCTTTCTGGTCCACCAGGCGCTGGGAAAAGTACATTTATTGAAGCATTTGGTGGTCGCCTTACAGGTAGTAAACCATGGAATCCTGTAATTAATACTTCTTATAAATCTTATGGTAAGCAGCGGCTGACACCAGACGAAGAACATTTCAATCAAGAAATCAGGGAACTTCATCGTGTAGCTGTCTTAGCAATAGATCCTTCTTCACATACAACTGGTGGTAGTCTCTTGGCCGATAAAACTCGAATGCCTGAATTGTCCAGTAATATGAATGCCTACATACGACCATCCCCTAGTGGTGGAAATTTAGGTGGTGTTGCTCGTGCAACTAGTGAATCCATCCTACTTTGTGAAGCTGCAGGATTTGAAACTGTCCTCGTAGAAACTGTTGGTATGTTCGTGTTTGTATTTTGTAATTTCATATTTCTTGTTTTTTTTTCCTTTTAAAACTTTGAATAGATTCAATATGTTAATAAATCGAAATATAGGGGTGATATATTGGTTTACATCAACTGAATTTTAAAAGAGATCAGTATGTCTTCAAAATGAGCGGTATGTTAGTAAATGGAGTGTTCGTCAATGAAGAAATTAATTTACAATGGTTTGATCAAGTTAAACTATGTTTAGACAATTTCGTGGAAATTTTTGCATTAATAAATCAATATCGATGACTGTGATCTCCACGTATTATTCGCCACTGCCATTAGACGTAATGTCTTTTTAATTTCATATAGAATATGTTTAGAAATGAATGAACTAATTTGATGTCATGAGATTTGAGGCATGTTTGGGGGTTCCTGAATCTAAGTTACTTGCTGATTGCAGCTCATAATCACGGTGTATCTTCATTTTTGAGGGGACTGTTACCCTCTGTGAGATCCGAACTTGCATCACCCAAAATTAGTTAGAGATATTTCCACTAAGCTACGACTGATCTGTGGGACTGAATTAGCTCGGCTGATTAATCATTGAGTAACAGTCCCACTGTAATTTGATCGACAGTCTTTCGTTGGCATTAATGACTAAACATTATCATCCATTATTACGAATAACTAATTTAAAATGTAACGCATGAAAAATACTTTATGTTATTCATAGTTTAGTTGTATTTATTTTGATTTCCAGTTTTATCATTCTTAAAAAACAACTTCAGTGCCTCTGATGCGTCAACCTAGTCGTGGTTTTTCGACCGAATGCAATTCTTTCGAGGGCAGTCCTCCTGTGAATTTCGCTTATAATGCTTCATTAGTTAAAATTTAAGGTATTATGTTCATCAGCATCTGTTCCACATAAATAGCTGTCCAGTAAGCGCTAGATTTAATCAAGTCTGTAATTCTTATCACTCCGTGATGAAAGTTGTTCTTTTAGGTATATAGTTTTGCTTCTGAGTTATGCAGCCTAACATTTGCAATGAAGTCCCTCGTATCGAATTTCTACAACTGAATCGCAGTTGAAAATTACCTTTAGAGCTTTATATCTTCATAAAATTCGGAAATTTTATTTACATCGCCTAATTGTTTGAACATAATTTGTCCACTTATGATTTCAGGTGTTGGACAGTTAGAGTTCGCTGCTGCAGATATGGTTGATATGTTTGTCTTGATTATTCCTCCTGCTGGAGGTGACGAATTACAAGGCATAAAACGAGGGATTGTTGAAGTTGCTGATCTGGTTCTAGTGAATAAAGCAGATGGTGAACTACTGCATCAAGCTCGTCTTATCGCTACAGAATATTCGAATGCTCTCAAATATATGCGTTGTCGAAGACCTAATTGGATTCCGAAAGTAAACCAGTTACTTTATTTAACTTATTAAATACAAGAATTTAAAATAGGATGTAATTTAGATTTACTATATATTCTAAAGTATTGACCCGTGCGAAATAATTAACATTCACTCCATAGCGATTGATCATTAGTTGAGAATCAGTGATCTGAGCATTTAACTCATTAATTCTAATATGCTCAACAGCATTTCATTACAAGAATTAAAGGACATTTAGTTGTAAACATTAAATTTTCACTACATGACGACAGACAATTGCTTGTTTTATCGAAGCAAAGTTTTTTCAGATATGAAGCAGTGCATTTCTCTTTTCATGAATCTTGATCAAAAAATCTGTGTTCGTAAAAAAAGACTTTTCTCTGTCAGAACGTATTTATTCAAATAAGTAATCACTGTTTTTAAATTGCCGAGTACATTTAAGTATCTGTATAGTCTTGGATATTTACGAACAAAATACATCTCAATATTAGTACATGTACATGAATCACCTGAACACCACAATATATGAACAAATCAAAAGTTAAATCTTTAGTAGTTCTACACTAATTTACTGTTATTTATATCACATAAAATGTTTTCAGTTTTAGGATAGTTCAAGAAATTCATTGTTATTTATAAACCTTGTAGGAGTAGGCTGTAAGAAGACTAAGGGCGACTAAACCATGAAGTTATTAACAAATATACTGAGCCATGTTAGTAGGTTCAGACTACCTGGTTGGGGTCCACATGATTATCGTAACTAGTGTTTCGAGTCTTGTAATGACATGGCTCAAAATCGCTTTCCTTAAGTCTTGAGCTTCTGAATTCCTCATATTTTTTTTACTTCACTAATCTATATCTTCTTGAATTGCGTTTTCTCAATGCCTAATCTTCTCTATCACCACTGATACTGTAATTACATCTGCTACTGTGGGAGTTAGTCTGACATCTTCATTTCGGTGTGCCGAATGGGGTATGACAACTTTGATCGATTTACACACGTACCAGGTTCTACGTTGCGAGAGTGGGGGGAGTTCGCTCACCCTCTCGAAATGCTCTCACATGGCCACGCGTATATATCCTCTGCCAGGGAAGTCCTACTCACTGCCTTCTCGTGGCGGTGTTGTTTACGAAAATGAGAGGACGAAAAACGAATGTCCGGCGCTTTAACCAGATCTCAAACCAATGGTGCACATGGGCTCCAGTATCCTGAAGGAACAAATGGCGTATGAACCAATTGTTGGTCACCGGCTACCATGGGACTGCATCTCCTTACGATGCTCCACTGCCTTGTGGATCAGACGTTAAGGTCGAAGACTCGGGGTGTGGCCCCCTAAGAAAACCACCTGCTTCGGTTTGGGCACCTGGGCAGTATCACAGCCCTCACACAAATCAATTGAGATTCGTGTGGCGCATATGTATTTGGTGCCTCCTTGTACCAATACCTATGTGTTAAAATAAATAAAAACCCTGTGAAACATGTTCATTCATTCAGCAGTTTTGTAATATACTTGAAGTTTAAAGTTGATTTATGATCTAATAGGTTTGAGAATAATGACATTTGAAAAATTTAACATAAAATTTTATCTGTTAATTTGTCTTACAGTATTTTTATTTTAATAAATGGTCAAGAATTAACTGTTCGTGTCGCTGATCTGCGAAAAGAACTGAAGCCTAAAGATAGTCTAATTTGTGTTCAATAAGTGCTTAAAGATTGTTCAACTTTAAATCGGTTTTCACCACTAACTAGTATTATCTGGAAAACCACTTGGTACCAGGAAGCACTGAAAAACTGCTTTACCTTTGTTTAGAACTTCTTAGTGGTAAACACCACTAATTTCATGCTTGATTGAATCCAGGAATTTCAGGTATCACTGTGAGTGTGATGCTTTTTTGATGAATGAGTTAAAAATCTAATGGTCTGTATTTCCAGCACCCAATAGCATATGTGGTGTAAGTTCCACTTTCAAAATATTATACCGATATTACCGATTAGTGTTGTAATTATGTGCACTATTGAGAAATAGAACTTAACTGTAAAGTAACTTTCTGATTTTTAAATTTCTTTGTTGATGTTAGTCACCTTTGAAACTAACTTCAAATCCATTTTATCTTCAGTAACTATTAATGTAAGTTAACTGAATAATAATTCTTCACAATTGTTTTTTGCCATACTTGTATAAAACCAAATAAGGTACAACTTGTATCCAGTCTAACAGGTGACGGACTAATTGAATTTTGGTCTACAGCTTTTAAATTTCATCAATCACTAATTAAATCAGGTGAATTACAAAGAATACGAAAAGAACAATTAAAAGTGAGTTGATTCAATTAAATTTAGGTTTTTAAAGTTCTTTTTTCTATATTACATTCTACTCCGTTTTTTTACCTTAAATAATTAGTTCATGTAACTCACCAACTACAAATCAGCGTACTTATCGCTGAGGTACAATTTTAGTATGAAAGCTTAATACTCTTGTAGTGGCTGGTGCAATGTCAAGTTTACATAGCTTATTCTAGCTTCTGGAATAACCAATTTATCCATTCTTCTCAAGCTACATTTTGCCCTTGTTAATTATTCGCTTATCACCCTTGAGTGTTTCTATGTAAGTGTATGTGTGTTCATTTCTTATCTTATTCGTCACATATCAGTGGCTTATTTTTGTTTGACTATAATTATCGATTTACGCTTGGTTAAATAGAGTTGGCTCACATACCTTCTATCCGTTTTACTTCTCTCTCATCTTCGCTTCATTTCCCTGGTTGTCTGTTCAGATCAGCGATTGTATGAAATCCACGTATTCGAAATACATTCTCGTATTTGACTTATTTAATTCCGTTATTCACCGTGATTTAAGTCGATCATTGTATACGAGGATCAGCGACATGTATATTTCAATAACAATCATTCATACGATCGAACTGAATCAGATACATAACCACTAAACTATTGCTACCTGGCCTCATTAATCATACTGAATTAAAGTATTTAAACCTGCAGTCTCCTTATTAAAATTTTTAGGTTGGAAACATCGCTCATTCACTTACCAATTTGCGTGCCCCCAAATGCCCTGGTACGGCCGAGAGTGGGGAGAGTCCGCTCTCCCTCTCGAAATGCTCTCACATGGCCATGCGTATATAGCCCCTGCCAGGGAAGTCCTACTCAATGCCTTCTCGTGGCGGGGGTGTTGTTTACAAAAATGAGAGGACGAAAAGCGAATGTCTGGCGCTTTAACCGGACCCCAAACCAATGGTGCACATGGGCTCCAGTATCCTGCGGGAACAAATGGCGTATGAACCAATCGTTGGTCACCGGCTACCATGGGACTGCATCTCCTCACGATGCTCCACTGCCTTGTGGGTCAGACGTTCAGATCAAAGGCTCGGGGTGTGGCCCCCTAAGAAAACCACCTGCTTCGGTTTGGGCACCCGAGCAGTATCACAGCCCTCACACAAATCAATTGAGCTTTGTGTGGCGCATATGTATTTTGGTGCCTCCCTGTACCTATACTTATGTGTTAAAATAATAATAATAATAATACCAATTTGCGTATAAATAATCTTATATTGGTTAGATGATATTATTTTATTGCCAGATTTTATAACTGACGACAGAATTGTTTTCAATCATTCTAGTTAATTCAATGAAGTGTACCATTGACTTATCGTTTATACATTGATATTCTGTTTTTTTTTCCAATATAAATATCATTTCGTGATAGGAGAGTATCACCAAATACTTGATTAAAGTATCTTGAAACGATTAAATTAACACTGATAAGTTATCTAAACGATGGCTTGATCCGACATCCTAGGCGCATCTAATAACCATCAGGCTACGTATACACAAAAACTTGAACACGAGAGAAAAGGCGCAAAGTGCAAAATGAACGCTTTACTCCAAGGTTGGTTGACGCACAGCAAAACGAGGGGCTACTGGAAATTTCTGGAACCATACTAAATATAGTAGCTGTATAGCCTAATGTCCAGTTAGGGACGTGACACGTGACTTCAGTCTCTAGATGTTTCTGTCTAATACTGATTGGATAAAGCTTTTGGGAGGGCTCTTATGGACATTTTTGAAAATTGCTTTGGAACTACTCAATATTAACTCTGAAAATTTATCGTTTACTTGTACATGTATGCTAAAAAATTCTCCGATTTGGCATCATCGTATTTTTTTATTTCATATATATAACCAGATAAATTTTGGAAAATGACAAGTGATCCTTTTCTTGATCATCGTTTGTTGTTGTAAGGTTCGATCATATAACAAATCCACCAATGATAACATTGAACATCCTCTACCACCACATTAACTTTCTTTGACCTTGTATAAATTTGCTTTGTTCATTTACCAATCATAATTCTTATGTTTGTCGTAAACGCTATTAGGTTTGTTGACTCATTTTTCATTTTAGAAATGGATAAAATTTATCAAGCCAAATAACTTAATTGTTCTGACTTTGGATAAGCTGAGACTCAACGGTTTGGGGGATAGTTTATAATTGCATACGTAGGAAATTACCATCTACAGTTGTGAACCAATTTAATCATGTATCTTTGATAAACCAGCTGTTGGAGGTCATCTGTTTTTGTGAACTTATATTCAATTTAAATCATTACTAAATGTAGAATAGATGGATTGCGGTTTGTAGTAGAATCTAGGATACGCGTTTCATTTTATTTGGGACTCATCAGCCGGATGTTCCATCACAATGTTGATATTCGCGCCGTAATTCCACCGTTACCCTTAATCAATCAATTTTAAATAACTTATGTAATACTGGCTATATCAAGACAATCTGCATAGTATGCACATATCCCAACAAGGACCGGCCAAAATTTCAATCCTTATTATCAACATCGGAATAGTTTAAACCCTTACTACTAACGTTTAATTGTTGTAATTAATGACAGCAAATAGGAGCTCAATTTGTTTTAAAAAATATATGGTAAAAGTACACTGTGCAATTGTTTGTTGATGATGATTGGATTTAGAAGTGAAACCTAACCCTCTAAATGATCAATTCAATTGTTTTGTAACCAAAGTTCTGCTAGTGTCCAAATATTTTGTGATTGAAGCTTCTAGAATGACATATTGCAAATAGTTGATTGGATATCCAATAATAAGGACAACAGTATGGAATTCGAGCCCATACTATATTATTAATTTGACAGTTCGAAATCTCTATTTGCCAAACAACACTAAATAGTTGTAAAGAACATGTTTTGTCCATTAGTTGAATTTTATCTTATATAATCAGATTACTGGATTAACACATGTATGTAAAGAAGATAAACGAATCCTTTAAACTACTCTTATCGAATAAAAAAAACTCATTCACTGGGTGATTGGATATGAGGCGCACCCTTATTGTGAGAATTAATGTTGCTACCTGCTTGTCCAAACCAACACAGACACAGTGGGGATTCTAATCTAAGAACTAGTGTTCGAAAGTCGTACTTTTTACCACTAAACCTGTAAACTGTGTAGTATGAATTCTTGGATTTCCAATTCCTACTTGAATTAGCCCATACATATTTCAAATAAATCAGGGCTATTTACATGGTGTCCGTAACTACTCAGTCAATCAGTTGTCAATGAAAACTATGTGGTTATTCTCCGTTATATCAGAATGCTTCAATATCACTGCGAAAGCTATAAGTAAGTGTGAGTTCATTGTCAGTGATAGATTATTTGCATCCTATTAATCAATGCTTTAGGAAAGAAAAAATTTACTCTGATAAATTAGCATATTTAAGCCGCACAAGACTACATATAAGTGGGACAATGTTGTCTTTAACGTTTTTAATTATCCAACATTTCCGCAATTTTTTGCGTTTAGTAGGCGAGTGATGTGTAGCATAATTTTCACTGAAGATTCCATTTCATTCCTCTAGACTTATGCACAACTGTCAGTGCACCTTAACCCATCGGGTAAAATACACAAATATAGCGCAATGAAATCAGCGGTAAGGATTATGCCTCATTATCCAGCATTTTTGTATTAAATAAATAGAAAAACGGCCAAGAATTTTCAACACAGCACGTATATTGAACATTAAATACATCGCCGACAATCCTACATTATATTGTTTTCCCCATATTTTCTTACATTAGATATGGATGTGGACATTTGTTAAAGAAGAGATTTGGCGTAGATTTAAAAACAGTCCACTTATTCTAGAGAAACAAAAAGAAATCGAAACATTATTATTCAACCGAGAAATCGCTCCTGGTATAGCCGCTGAATTATTACTTGATATTGATCATAGAAAGTCATAATACACATAGTATTCATACCTATTTATTGTATATTACTAAATTTATAATCATAGAAAGTCTGAACTTTTTCTTTCAAATTAATCTCGAAAAAAATTACTTTTAGTTGGTCTTCTCTACAATTGCATTTCAACCCAATATTCATTGTTATTATTTATCTTAAAGATTACCTCAGGTAATGATATTTATTTATTTCGTCAGATTTAGCGACGATTTTTTTCTTTTAATTTTCACTTTTTAAGTATTTCTTCATTGGATATAAAATATAAGAAAAATTTAATTGGTTAATTCATTTGTAAATCAGACTTGAAGTATCTTCAAATTGTCTCCACAGTCTTTTCTCTGAATTAAATAGATGTGTTATTTGTAAAACTCAACTGACTAGTCAAATGGATGGTGTTATGACTAGAGGCAATTTTTATTTTCACTCTTCAACAAAACGAGTATAAGTTGGTGTTATTGAGCTGATCAGTTGCAAAGTTATTATTACATCGTGAACCTTCATATGAGTGATAAAAATAAGACAATACCATCTATTTTAAACTCAGAGTTTAGAAATTGGTTACCTGGTCTCGTTAAATAAATATCCTAGACGATCGAGCGCTATCGCGAATTTATTGGTGTTAGCTTTGTACACCATAAGACCCTAGCTCAGTCGTCTAAAGAGTAAGCAATGGTGGAGTCCTAGATGTATATTAGTAAGACGTCCAATACAATGACGAAACAGCCATCCAGTGATTTCATGTTCTTGATGTTTGTCTAGTTTAGATCGGTTCATGATCTTAATAATATCTCAGATTGTGGATGTGTTACTTTTTGAGTGTACTTCAAAGATCGTGAATGTTAATGTATCTGTCGCATCTCACTTTCATATCCTTAATATGTTTTTCACGTGTTTCGTCCATACTCCTTATAGTTATCAAATTAACAAACTTTCATAACTCACTTCTATTTAATAATTGAATTCATGAGTCGATTTAAACTAGATCACAACGGTAAACCTGGAAGCATTGGATGGCTGTTTCGTCACCACCAGCACTTATACAGCTACCCAGATACACGAACTTCTCGACTACTTCTATCTGCTCACCATCCAGAGTGAGTACAGGATTAGAATCCTGCCAGTCTTGTAGAAGTACTTTGCACTTCGAGGGTGCAAAGCACATACCATACCTACGGATACTGATTGCCAACTGATTAAGTGCGGATTGCATAGCTTGGGCATTCTCGCACAGTAAGACAATATCATCCGCATACTCAAGGTCGAGAAGTCTTTCTCCAAGCAACAGATCCACACCACCATTACTTGCATCCATCAGAGCTGTTTCCAGAATGTCATCGATGGCAAAGTTGAAGAGGAATGGTGAGATTGGGCAACCCTGCCTAACTCCACTGCTCGAATGGAATAATGGAGAAAGGTGGTTGTATGCCCTCACTCTGCCTGAGGTGCTTGTGTATAGGGCTTTTAGGATGTTAATAAACTTCTCAGGCACACCCTTCTTCAATAGACAATCCCAGAGAACAGTTCTGTCCAACGAATCGAAGGCAGCCCTGATGTCAAGAAACACTACGATTGTTGGCCTTTGATAAGTATGACGGTGTTCTAACATTTGACGGAGGGTGAAGATATGAACAATACCTCCTCGTCCAGAACGAAACCCAGCCTGCTCCTCGCGAGTCAATCTTTCTCGAGTTTTGAACAACCTACGAAGTATAACGGAAGCCAATAGCTTGGACGCAATCGGAAGTAGACTTATCCTCCGATAGTTGTTACAGTAACGACGTGGACCCTTTTTAAAGATAGAGACAACTATCGACTCATTCCATGACGTTGGTGCACTTTCTAGTTCCCAGACTTTTGTAAACAACGTCGTCAGTCCCTTAGTCAGAAAGTCACCACCATCTTTTCTAAAACCATGACCTACATGATGAGTACGCTTTTTATTATAAGCCTGTAATAACCTACAAACACGTGGCCAATTTTACACATTTAATACGAAAAACCTCATCATTAGCTGTTTAGGTTTGCTGAAAAAATAAGCTGTGGTAAATGTGTTCCTGACTTGCTTTTTTCACCTATCATATGGTCTAAGCGGTTGATTAGAGACCTTCGTTACGGACCGAGTGTGATCGGGGTGCCAAAAATTAAACAGAAAGTACTGAGAACCTGTTACTTAGTGTATTGACACTTTTCTATGTCACCAGAGCATTGAACTCAATAAATTCAAAGAGCCTACCTACTTAGTGAAAACCCATTTTTTCACACCACAATGTGATATTGAGTAGGCTTGTTAGAGGACTCGTAATTAGTTGAGGAATGATCAGAAGGAAGTCGTAACAACTACAGTCAACCTAGCAGTCGTACATATCCAATATAATTACCAATCAACATAGTCCCAATAATTAGACTGAAAGTAGTATTACCCGGCATAAACTACTTCAACAACTTGTTTGTGTTGGACTTAAAAATGAACTACACCGATAATTTGAGTGTACTGCGGTAAAGCATATGGGTAATTGATAAATCCATAACTGACATATACGGTTGCCTGTGTGCCAAAGTTATCTGCTCAATATACACTACGAACATCCGTAAATATCCATAACTAATGGATACATTTTTCAAATCAGACTAGCAATATTTCCACTGTTGGTAAAGTAATTTTACTTTTGAGATGTTCATGAAGAACAAGGATTTATAGAAAATGAGAGCTATATTTCACACCAGAAGCTTGAATAGAAGTAACTTTAGCCCATAAAGAACGTTTATTCCACCTGTTGATAAGATCATTGAGTCCTGAATTATCATACTCTACTCCTAGAATAAATCCAACCACACAACCCCCGAAACCTGCTCCAGTGACTTTCGCTGGAATACCAACTAGTTTTAATTCTTCAATAATTTCGTTTGAAATAGAATGTGACACTCCCAATTCTTCAAGCAAATGTTGATTTCTAACAATATGACGAGTAAGAGATCGACTAATTTCACAGTTATCGTTCTGATTCAAAATATCAATTACTTCGTCCACGATTATACCTATTTCTTTGAAAATGGAATTTACACACGTTTTATCTTCCTTCCACTTATCATAAACCTTCCGTACAGCAAGAGATGTGGAACGAGTAATGTTAGTATTGACTATGAGTAATTTGACAGTATCGAAATTTGAAATGTTAATTTCCTGAAATAGGGGAAGTTGATCTTTCCGGAAAACTATAGTACCTCCATATGTGCATATTGTACTATCTAATCCTGAAGATTTTCCATGAATGATGCTTTCAGCGTCTCTAGCCAGAGAAGATATTAATTTACGTTGAATCTTATCAATGTCCCAAACTTGTACAAGTGGATAATTGTTAGTTAATAACAGAGTAGTAGCAGTAGCAGCAACTGAAAATGCACCCGATGATCCTAGTCCACATCCACTAGGTATATCTGACTGAATTTCTATACATATGGTATTTTTTCCATTAAACATTGGGAATTGTTGATTGCTACACTCATCGCTTCGTAGTTGTATAGCACGAATAAACAGATATACTATAACACACGTGCTAACAATGATAGGTGAATCATGAAGAGAGTCATGGTAAGCACAACTAAAAAGATCTGACACTAATTTCCACGCGTAATCCAAAACAGATTCTTTATTTGAAATAGAATGAAACATTTTGATTGGAATATGAATGCTATTTTCTGATAAATCTTTAAAATCTATAATAATATCTTCACAAGCTTCATTCTTAATGGTAACTGTAAAATAACACCGTAGTTCAATTGTAGCAGCGATAGCTGGGTAACCGTATACAACAGCATGCTCACCAAATAATATAGCTTTCGCAGGAGCAGATAAAACAAACTTCATAAATGACTGGAGTTAATGTTATCTTGGCAAATAATTCACAATAAATTTTGCTCATGTAAAACTAGTATCCCAGGAACAAAAAAGATGATTACAGCGAATTAGAACGGAAAATAATGCACACGGTAAAATTAGCTACAAAGTACGTGTAATTTAAAATAATCGAGTTTTAAGAAGCTATTCAGTATGCTGAAAAAACAATGAACTATCAAGAAGTTATAAACAGCAACAAAGTGGATACCGTATAAAACCTCATTATATATTGTTTACTGGTGAAGGCTTTGTGGTTAAACATATTTTGCCTTCAGCCACTGCATAACCAGTCTGGACTCCGCTCCAACTACTTCGGTTTGAGCGGCCAGGTAGTATCACTAATCATCACATTTACAGTGTGGTTTGGAGCCAGGCACCTGGTAAGTGGGTTAATAATAGTCAAAGTTTGTTGTTTGGTCAATGGTCTTAAAGTAATAGCTCTCCGAAGTGATAACTGAAAACAAAATTATCATAACTTTGTTGTTGGAAAGTATTAAATTACCTAACAAGAATTATAGAAACTAAAGAACAGAACGGTTTGAATACCTTGTCAGTTCATAAATACGACTATTTATTAGAAACAACTGACACATTTAAATAGCTGGAAAATGTCACACTTTTGTATAAAAGCTAGTGATACTGCCCAGTCATTAAAATCAATTTAAGTGGAGTGTAATTTGGACCTACAACCTACCTCTGCTATGAACTAGTGTGAGAAACAAAAACCTGTTACACACTACTTAGCCGTACAATATGTATAATATAGGGAATTTTTGTTAGCGACTTCAGTTCCAAAAAGTACTCCTTTCTTAAGGAAATCAGAATAACTCAATAAAAACTTACTATGCTCGCTTACAAATAGATGGGAATAGTTTTTGCCATTCACACGTAAGTAAAATATACTGTTTTAGATTTGTGAACTGGACAATGAACTAGAACATTAGCCATATTATACCCTGGCTGTTAATCACAAGGAAAATCGAGAAAAACAACAGAAAGGATATAAAATTAAGTTATGAAGGTTGCTATGACCTTTGGAATCGACATGAAAACAATAGAACATCTAGTAACTAAACTACAGAAAATAAACTTGCGATTTAAATAATGGCGAACATAAGGTACCTAAAATTTGATTTAAAAAAAATAATGTATTATACACGTTACTTATTGTGAAAGTAATGTCAAGAAATTCATTTTCAAACATCCATATGCAACAGCAGTCATCAAGCGAGTGTATAATATCAGCTGACATATCCAATATGGATCCGAAACTCCACACTAATCTTAGCTAGCCAAAACACTTCGATTTAATACAAAATAATAGATCTCCCAAAAGCCAGTAAATTGTCGGACCCTTACTGTAAATGCGATGTAACTAGCTTTACACTGGGAAAAATGAAGTAGCCTACTGAGTCTAACTTAAGGTGATTGATGGCGTACGATTGCGTGTATCAGAAATTTTCTTAACACCAATAGATTAGTTGACCGATAATTGAATAGTTAAGTTATCTGTGTTCTAGTCCTGGTGTGCTAGTAGAGATACTTTAACCATACGATAAAAGCAACAAATCGAATTTGACAAATTTTCAAGACCAACAGAAATCAAAATAACAGTTTTTTGAAAACGTATTAGCTCAGCTCGACGAAAGAGTTTCGTGTGAGACATGAGGTTATTTCTATACAAGAATAAGAGGCTAACACGAGGTTTGAAAAATTTTGATCTCTTTTCTTACTTTAGAAACGAAATCCAGTCAAAACATTCCGAGATATACAATTAAATGAATTATCATCTCAACCTATTTAGAATCGTTGATGTATGAACCTACAATGAACATCTTTCCACTGTGTATAAAATCATTTTAAAAATACATTTGCACTGTAATATGTTCCTCTTCTATTCCCAAGATTTATTTTGTGGATAAGCTGGACTAAGATTTTATTGGGTTCAGACAAATATTGTGAAAATCTTATATAAGAAGGATTTTAACCGTCTAGTGAAATTTATTCGGCTCTTGAAAAATATGAGTCCTAGTATTGTACATGACACTTTCACTTCCTGTTATCGACTTACTTGAAAATTATCAGTGTAAGGTTTTGGAGATTACTGAGTTTTTAATTGAGGTCATGAACAGATTAATGTCAGACCACCACTATCGGGGGATAAGTCTACTTCCGATTGCGTCCAAGCTATTGGCTTCCGTTATACTTCGTAGGTTGTTCAAAACTCGAGAAAGATTGACTCGCGAGGAGCAGGCTGGGTTTCGTTCTGGACGAGGAGGTATTGTTCATATCTTCACCCTCCGTCAAATGTTAGAACACCGTCATACTTATCAAAGGCCAACAATCGTAGTGTTTCTTGACATCAGGGCTGCCTTCGATTCGTTGGACAGAACTGTTCTCTGGGATTGTCTATTGAAGAAGGGTGTGCCTGAGAAGTTTATTAACATCCTAAAAGCCCTATACACAAGCACCTCAGGCAGAGTGAGGGCATACAACCACCTTTCTCCATTATTCCATTCGAGCAGTGGAGTTAGGCAGGGTTGCCCAATCTCACCATTCCTCTTCAACTTTGCCATCGATGACATTCTGGAAACAGCTCTGATGGATGCAAGTAATGGTGGTGTGGATCTGTTGCTTGGAGAAAGACTTCTCGACCTTGAGTATGCGGATGATATTGTCTTACTGTGCGAGAATGCCCAAGCTATGCAATCCGCACTTAATCAGTTGGCAATCAGTATCCGTAGGTATGGTATGTGCTTTGCACCCTCGAAGTGCAAAGTACTTCTACAAGACTGGCAGGATTCTAATCCTGTACTCACTCTGGATGGTGAGCAGATAGAAGTAGTCGAGAAGTTCGTGTATCTGGGTAGCTGCATATGTGCTGGTGGTGGCGTGAGTGATGAGACCAATGCACGCACAGTGAAAGCCAGAGCGGCTTATGCCGATCCGGACCATCCTTGGAGCCTTCGTGATGTCAGTTTGGCTGTAAAAGGTCGGATCTACAACGCGTCGGTGAGAGCAGTTTCGCTCTATGCTTGTGAAACCTGGCTTCTCCGAGTTGAGAATGTTAGACGACTCTCTGTGTTCGATCATCCTTGTCTCCGAAGGATTGCTAACATCCAGTAGCAACACCACGTCAGTAATGCAGAAATTCGGCATCGTGTGTTCAGGCGCAGAGACGATAATCCAATCGGTATCACTATCTTGAATCATCAACTTCGGTGGCTTGAACACGTTCTACGAATGTCGTCCCAGAGAATTCCTCGTTGTGCATTATTTGCCGACTCTGGGACTGGTTGGAAAAAGCGGAGAGCTGGTCAGTATATGACATGGTGTCGTGGTATGAAAGAAAGCTGCAAAGGGCTAGCTTCTGTTGGTCCTTCACAACTCCCTGGCTGGGGTCCGAGAGACGGTGTAACACAGTGGCTAGAGACGTTATCAGATATGGCTCAGAATAGAAGCCAGTGGCGATCCTGCTGTAACCTTCTTTTATTTTCTTCGTAAAAAGCGGTTGCTTCTTCCTTAACTGACAGATTTCTCCCGATTGTGCCTTTTCGTTTACCCCATTTTTGTTCTTTTATTAATATAGATATTCCCTACGTTCCTTACCTTTCTTTTTCGCTTCTCTTCAAATTCTCATTGTTTTGTGTGGCGCATATATATTTGGTGCCCCCCTGTACCAATATTTATGTGTTTAAATAAATAAATACCATTGAAAACGCCTCAGCAGTGAGCATCCACGATTCCCCATGCGGGAACTAAACCCATGATCTTCTGTCTCGAAAACCTCCACATTTTGTTTCCTCTGATTCAGACTGAGATCAGAATAGTATGAATGTGAAACTACACAAAGGTCACTATTCATTGCTGTATACTCAAAGCATATAATTTATTAATCAGTCGACGTACTCGATGTTCATACAACAATAAAAATAGCAAAATCCTAAATACAGAAAAGTCATAATACGTTTTCATCATACATCATTAAGACTTTTTGAAGTTAACGAAATTCGTCAACTATATTTTATTTATTTATTTGAACACAAATATTGGTACAAGGGGGCACCAAATACATATGCGACACACTATATGTCGTCAATTCATTCTATTTGTGTGTGGGATGTGATACTGCCCAGGTGCCCAGACCGAAACGGGTAGTTTTCTTAGAGCCACACCCCGAGCCCTTGACCTAAATGTCTGATCCACAAAGAAGTGGAGCATCGTAAGGAGACGCAACCCCATGGTAGCCGGTGACCAACGATTGGTTCATACGCCATTTGTTCCTTCAGGATACTGGAACCCATGTGCACCATTGGTTTGGTATCCGGTTAAAGCGCCGGACATTCGTTTTTCGTCCTCTCATTTTCGTAAACAACACCCCCGCCACGAGAAGGCAGTGAGTAGGACTTCCCTGGCAGAGGATATATACGCGTGGCCATGTGACAGCATTTCGAAAGGGAGAGCGGACTCTCCCTAAAACATTTTAAGGATTCTAATTTCGTTATTGATGTGAAAATTTAGGGTGAATTTGGTGATTATTTGGGGGGAATTGTCAACTGTGGAAAAACTCAGGTTAATTCCGATCAAAAATCCTAGTCCTAGGAAAATTTTCATACGAATCCCATACCAGGATGAATTTTGCGCTTTCTGGTTGTACATTTCGAAACTTCATTCGGAACTTTCAAAGAAACTGCAGTTTCACCCAACTTCAAAGTTAAGAGGTTGAGAGATCACAAGGAACAAACAATAGGAGCTTAAAATTATGTTAATTCATTGTGTTATGTTCGGGTATATTTCAAAATATTTAAGAACATGTATTTATGAAGAGGGAATATAAAGAGAACAAACGACCACACTGGGCCAAACTCACAGTTCTCTGTACCTAAGCGACCTTGAGAGATCGAAGTCGCAACATGATTACTGTTTTAAATTACTAGTGCATTCTTGCACTTGCATTGCTGTCTAGTATGTCTTCATTCTAATCGTCTAGATATGTAGTAAAATACCGTCAATTTCCCAAAGTAGTGCAAGTAATATTTTATCAGTTATTTACACTCCGCCTGTAGCTCTTCTAGAGTTACTGCCGGTCCCAAGATCGGGTAAAGGAGGAGGGTTGGGCATGGGGTTAGCGTCCCCATCCCGTAGAAAACTAACTAGCTGAAAAAACGCTAACCAGAAAAAATAACTCAAACCATTTAAGCTCTGCCCTGGGAGTTAGAAGGTCTTCATTTAGGAGAAATATGACGCCTCATGGTGAAAGCCGAGTTCATTCGGAAGCCATGAGGCCGACGCGCCTTCTAACAACCAGAGCAACAATTTTTATGGGTACATGGAACGTCCGGACAATGTGGGAGACCGGGAAGACCAATCAAATAGCAGTGGAAATGAGGAGATACAACATGGCATTACTGGGAATCAGCGAAACCCATTGGACCCAAGCTGGACAACAAAGGCTAAATACGAGAGAAATACTGCTATACTTCGGTCACGAACAGGAAAATGCCCCACACACTCAGGGAGTTGCTTTAATGCTGTCCAAAGTAGCACGAAATGCACTTGTAGGATGGGAATCCCACGGATCCAGAATCATAGCATCATTCAAAATAAAGAAGGAAGGGGTCACACTGAATATTATCTAATGTTATGCGCCCACCAATGATAGCGACGACGACGTTAAAGATCAATTCTATGAGAGGCTGCAATCAATCATAGAGAAGTGTCCAAGAAAGGACCTTACCATTCTGATGGAAGATCTAAACGCCAAAGGCGGAAAAGACAACACCGGATATGAAGATATCATGGGACTACATGGACTAGGAGAGAGAAACGAAAACGGGAAAAGATTTGTAAATCTGTGTGCATTCAACAAATCGGTCATAGACGGCACAATATTCTCACACAAACGTATACACAAAGCTACTTGGATCTCACTAGACCACACGACAGAGAATCAGATAGATCATATTTGCATCAATAGAAAGTTCCGAAGGACAATGGAAGATGTGAGAACCAGGAGAGGAGCGGATATAGCTTCAAATCACCACCTGGTTCTGGCCAATTTAAAACTAGAGCTAAAGAAGAACTGGGCAACTTGACAAACAGCACCACAAAGGTTCAATACAGCCTTCCTTCGAGATACTGACAAACTCAATGAATTCAAGATAGCTCTCAACAACAAGTTCCGAGCCCTACAAGATCTACTGAAGGAAGAAGAAACTAATATGGAGGACAACTGGAAAGGTATCAAAGAAACATGAACTTCAATGTGTCAGGAAGTTCTGGGCCCCATGAAGCATCATCACAAGGGATGGATCTCTATAGCAACACTGGACAAGATCAAAGAAAGGAAGAACAAGAAGACAGCTATTAACAACAGCCGAACACGATCAGAGAAAGTCCAAGCACAAACTGGGTACCTAGAAGTAAACCAGCAAGTGAAGAGCATTAGAGCTGACAAGCGAAAATACGTGGAAGAACTAGCAACGACGGCTGAAAAGGCTGCTAGAGAAGGAAATATGAAACAACTTTACGATACAACGAAGAAACTAGCAGCGAAATATAGTAAACCAGAGGGACTGATCAAAGACAAAGAAGGCAGGCCAATCACTGAAATTCAACAACAGCGGAACAGATGGGCAGAGTAATTCGAAGAACTCCTGAATAGGCTGGCTCCAATGAATCCACCGGACATCGAAGCAGCACACACAGATCTTCCTATAAATGTCAATCCACCAACGACGGAAGAAATCAGAATGGCCATCAGACAAATCAAGAGCGGAAAGCAGCAGAACCCGACAATATACCAGCTGAAGCACTGAAGTCAGACATCGAAGTAACTACAAACATGCCTCATCTTCTACTCAAGAAGATTTGGGAAGAGGAACAAATGCCAATGGACTGGAGAAGAACACCTCGTCAATATTCCAAAGAAAGGAGATCTGAGTAAGCGTGAAAAATACAGAGGCATTAAACTACTGTCAGTACCAGGAAAAGTCTTAAACAGAGTGTTACTGAACAGGATGAAAGACGCAGTAGACGCTCAACTTTGAGATCAACAAGCTCGATTCCGTAAGGATCGGTCGTGCACAGACCAGATTGCGACACTACGGATCATCGTCGAACAATGAATTGAGTGGAACTCGTCACTCTACATCAACTTCATTGATTATGAGAAGGCATTTGACAGTGTAGATAGGAGAACGTTATGGAAACTTCTTCGACACTACAAAGTTCCTGAGAGGATTGTCAATATTATCCGGAACTCATACGATGGACTACAGTGCAAAGTAGTGCACGGAGGACAGCTGACTGACGCATTCCAAGTAAGGACCGGAATAAGACATGGCTGTCTACTCTCTCCCTTCCTGTTTCTTCTGGTGGTCGACTGGATTATGAAGACCTCGACATCTGAGGGAAACCACGGCATACGATGGACAGCTCAGAACCAATTAGACGACTTGGACTTCGCAGATGACTTAGCCCCCCTATTGTCTACAGACGAGCAAATGCAGATAAAGACAGCCAGCATAGCAGCAGTCTCTGCATCAATAGGCCTCAACATACACAAGGGAAAACCAAGGCCCTCAAATACAACACTGAGAACAGCAGTTCAATCACTCTTGATGGCGAAACTCTGGAAGATGTAGAATGCTTCACATACCTGGGAAGCATCGTCGATAAACAAGGAGGTTCAAATGCAGACGTAAAGGCGAGGATTGACAAAGCAAGGGCCGCATTCCTTCAACTAAAGAACTTATGGAACTCAAAACGACTTTCAACCAATATCAAAGTCACAATCTTCAATACGAACGTCAGGAAAGTTCTTCTGTACGGAGCTGAAACGTGGAAATGGATAGGGCATGCATTATGCAAATCATCAAACTGCACCACGAGACAAGCGCTAACGTGGAATCCTGAAGGGAAGCGGAAAAGAGGAAAACCAAAGAACACATTACGTCGGGAAATAGAATCGGATATGAAAAGGATGAATAAGAACTGGAAAGAGCTGGAAAGGATTGCCCAGGACAGGGTTGGGTGGAGAATGCAGGTGAGCGGCCTATGCTCCTTCGCGAGGAGTAACAGGCGTAAGTAAGTAAGTAAGCCTGTAAAACTGGCGTGTACCTGTCCTTGCAGAAATATATTATATTACAATACCTCACTGCATAGTCAATTATTCGTTTGTTGCCATGTCTGGTGATCGAGAATCTTCCCTCACATAATATATTTATTTACAACACCCATCATGTCTTCACTCTCGCTACTGCACCATGATAGTGCTTATCCATTTTCGTTGTTATAAATATTTAAAATTTACGCCGATTTTGATTCTGAATGTTATAGGTTGTAAGAAACTGATGAGAACCAGACGAAATAAAATGAACTCACGTTGTTCTGCTTAATTCTTTGTTCTTTCTCTATCCAGATTAAGAAGGGAACTAAATTTAGGAGTTAAGAAAATGCCTGATCGCTTGGCCCTCAAGTAATTTCATATGTATTTCAACACAAAATGACAGAATTTCTTAATAAAATCTGAGAACCATGCAGTAAACTCTTTATTTGCCAAATGTCAATCAGTTGTCTCAGATTAGACCGATTTTTCTTTTCCCCACTAAGCACTCTTTGTTCTCGTTCTGTTCTCTTCGATCTTCATTTTCGGCCTTCAGGCATTTAACTTTCTATTGATGATACATACTACATATATCTGTCGACATCAGTAGCACACACTACAATTTCAAGTTAGCGCTTGCCTAGTGATGCAATTTGATGATTTCCTAAATGTTTGTCCTGTCCACTTTAAGCGTCTTTTCCTAATTTCCTCTTCAACTGGAGGCTGGTTTTTTTCTCCCACAGTAGGCCGTTGCTGATGAAATCCAGCCAATGGATATCGAGTATATTGCATGAACGGTTGTTTGTGAGTACTTGAACCTTCAGCTCCGTACAGTAGGACGGATAGCTCCAAATTATACGAGTCGACGCCTTCAGCTTCTGACCCCCATATGAACACAAACAGGCTACGAATTTGCAGAGCCTAGACAGTGTTTATTTGATGAAGACATAAAGTAAAGTCAATGATTGTCTCACTGTAGCACCCAGAGAATCAAGATGAAGAATCGACACTTTTACTGTTGTCATCGAATCAGACTAAAGGGTCAAGAATGCCGTTTGAAGCAAATCCTCAAAACCTGTCAAAACGGACCTCTCAGAGACGCCATTCATTTTCACATAAGTTAAGAGAATCTTCCTGAAGTGAACCAAAGGTTAGATTTGAAAATGTTCTCAGCCATATTATGTCGTTAATAAGAAAGCTAATTTAAGATGCAGTCATACAAGTTAGCAATCACAATTTCCCAAAATAGGATTGATGTGAAATCTAAAAGAATACGGGTAAACCGCCTAATAACTTTCACTTTTGCCAGGTAGATACCACAGTTTCTTTGGGACGTTTTGGCCTCAAGCCCTTAATTTTTGAAAACGGTAGTTTTTCAGTATTTGCTTGAACTAGTTTCAAACAATTCTCTTCTGAGTCATACCACTTCACGGTTAGTTATAAACAGTATTTTCACGTCAAGCTGTGAGTGTGCCTATATATGCTACATGAGTAAAAGGCCCAATCTTATATGATGAACATGCCATTGTATGTCTGCTAACTTATAAGCTCTCAAGTCGAATTCACGTCATTGTTAAGAATGCCTATATAGTAGTTCATGGCTTACATGGCCTCTCAGGTATTTGCGCCAGCATGTCGTTTTATATAGAAGGCAGATATGAATTCGATGAACTTTGCATCCGAAACCGAAAAGGGTACAGTCGTTTTAAGTGCATAATTAGGAGGGGTATCACTCATTTCCTGCAGTTATGCAGCCACGTTACTCAGTAATATATATCCTGGACAGC